TGTTTCTTCTCATTTTTTAAATGTTAAATAATTTTGCAAATAAGCCCTCTTGTAAACTTATCCTGATATACCTTATTAATGAATTTAAGCTTCTTCTAATTCATTCATTGGCCACTTGTATATACTTAGAAAATTTCCTATTCATATTTCTTGCAAGTCTTCCTCTTTCATTGTTTACATTTTAAGAATTTATTTGTCGGGGATCTTTATGAATTTTAGATTTTTATTGGGATTTAACTGAATTTAGAGTTTTGTACAACATGAAATATTTCCATCCAGAGAATACTACACTTCCCCATTTGTTCTAGTTTTCTTTTATATCCCTTGACAAGATATTACTGTTTTCTTTAGATCTTATTCACTTCTTGTTGGAATTTATATTACATAAGGAAGACATTTTCAATGGCTATTTATAGAACTGAAATCATTTTAAAATAAAATAGTTCCCAGCTCCAGTTGAAATCATAGCAATTTATTAAAGCTGTAATGATCTGTCAAATAACTCAAAGAAGTATAATTATTAGCCTACAATTTACTTGTAAACAAGGTACATCAATTAACAGGCTTTTTTCATGTCTTAACACACATCCTTTCTTTGGCAAGTTACTTATTACCTGGCAGTAAACAAGGAGGCCAGGTGGGTATCCAGCCTCATCCAGCTGGGTCATCAAGGAAAATAATTCTAGTTTCTTAATGGTCCTCCAGAATCTTTATGTGTTTAAACTGTGACGTCTTTAAGACAGGAAGTCTCTGCCACGTCTGTATGTATCCTTTCTTCTGCACCTCCACCTGCATCAGGCCAGGTCTCAGCATTCCCTCACTAGAATGTCTCAGATCCTTAACAGAAATTGAAATTAAGTTGCCGATAGTAAATTTTTTCAAAAAGCAAGTTGGAGCATGATAAACTGATCTTAAAATTCTGAAGAGAAGGTGTACAAGAGTAGGCTTGAATGTGTTTTTCTGGCTTACTGTTTACTTACTGAGAAGGCTGTTTTCAATTATCTTTGAGTTGAATATATGTATTTATTCTTTTAGTTATGTCATTCTTTTATACATTTTGAGGCTTTTATTATGTGCATATACAAATTTTTATAGCTTCCTGATTCACTAAAACTTGTACCGTTATGAGATATTCATCCTTGTCTGATGTTAAGAAACCTACGCTATCTTTTTTATGAGAATTTTTATGGTATGTATTTCCTCTGTTTTTTTCTTCCAAGCTTTTAATATACTTGTCTTTTGAGTACATGTCTTGTTACCAGAGTGTTTTTTCGAATCCAATCTGTCAATCTGTCTTTTAATGACAGCATTTAATTCATTTACATTTAATGCAATTATTGATATAATCTACTATCTTGATTTTTGCTTTTGATTGTCCCATTTATGTTATTTTTTCTTTAATTGATTTCTTTCACAGGTAATTTTTTAAATGATTTCATTTTTCCTTTACGACCTTTGTGGTTACGCATTCTTTTATAGTTCCTTAAGTGATTACCCTAATTACCCCAGAGATTACAAAACGTCTTCTTATCAAGTGCATGTCAGTTATTAATTTATTGGCTCTCAACTTCAAGTCCACTGTTTATTGCCAGCTATGGAAAAAAGAATTATTTCTACTTTGCTAGGCTTCCCTGGTGACTCAGTGGTAAAGAATCCACCTGCCAGTGCAGGATATGCGGGTTCGATCCCTGGGTCGGGAAGATACTCTAGAGAAGGAAATGGCAACCCTCTCCAATATTCTTGCCTGGAAATTCCCATGGACAGAGGAACCTGGTCTACAGTCCATTGGGTCACAAAAGTCTGGACGCAATTTAGCAATGAAACGACAGCTAGTATGAAGTTAAGCTTTGTCTGCAGAGGGCACTAGAGGAGCACTAGAGAAGGAATTGGTTTCTGTTCTTTCTGTTTCTTCAGAGTTGGGCTCCTGAAATATGAGATGAGCAACAGCTCCCAGCTGCTACCTGTTACCCTGGTACCCTCTAAAATGGCTTTAGGATTGTGCAGTCTGCAAGTCACCTCCCTAAAGATGGCTTTCCCAGCATCCCCTTGAATGGTTCTGAGCTTGTTTCAAGGCATTCGGCTTGTTAGCCTTTCTTGGCAGGAACAGATACCTATCCATTCAGTTCAGTTGCTCAGTCGTGTCTTGACTCTTTGCGATCCCACGAACTGCAGCGCGCCAGGCCTCCCTGTCCATCACCAACTCCTGCAGTCCACCCAAACCCATGTCCATTGAGTTGGTGATGCCATCCAACCATCTCATCCTCTGTCGTCCCTTTCCCCTCCTGCCCTCTCCATGGCATAAAGAAAACCAGCCCCTAATGCCAAGATTACCTCTGTGGGTTTCCGTTTTCTCCTGATGTTGATAGCAGTGGAGATGGTGGAAAGTGGTTATACTCTGGGTATATTTTGAAAGTAAAGGTGATGGGATCTGCTGATGCAGTGGATGTTAGGGCAAAGTATAAAGAATGATTTCATAGTTTGGAAGTCATGGAAATGAGATCTGAGATATGAGAGAGGGAAAGAGGGCAGGTAGGGTAGAAAGATGACAGAAGGGGGTGATGTGGACACAGGTAGAAAAGAATTGAAGATGACTAAGAAGAAAAGTGAGGACATGCAGGGTCAATGGACTAAAGGTCTTGGTAATATCAAAGAATTGCTGGAGTCAGGGTACCAGAAGATGATAACTAGGAAGACAGCACGAAAATAAAGATAGGCTTGGTGGTAAGAAAACATCCATATTTAAAAATAATCTTTTTATTTAATCATCATACACATTTTATCGTATATTCATATACTGATATACATTACATTTATTTGTCAGTAATAATTGAATAATTTACTATATACCATAAATCACAAAACATAGGTGGAATGTATGAAGTGAATCAGAGACATCAAATATCATATTATTATCTTTGTAAGAAGTAGATAATTATGAGATTTAAGGAGAATCTTAAATCTTAATCTTCAGAATTAAAGAGGTAGTATACACAATTAAGAAATAAGTTTTGATATTCAGATCAATGAGAGATTTGTGTGTACTGGAAACATCAATATGTAAAATAGAAACATAGTCAATAATCACATTCCTAGAGATAGTGTGATAATCACAGGAAAATCATCAAAAACTACAGATGTTAACAGAAACAGATAAATTAGTTGTGGGTTTTAACCATTGCAACAGTGTTTTCAAGTGTTCAGAAGAGGACTTCTTAATTTTTTCGAGATATAGGTCTTGAGTGTTGATTATTCTATTGACCTTGAAAGACTTTTTTCTATAGGACTCACTTTATCATTAGCTAGTGTTCATATTTTTTGTTCAAAGATACCACTATTTGTTAGAATTTATAATCTACATTAAGTAATAAATTTTGTCGCTGAACCAAAATTATTTCAGTCCCAGTGAAATTTTACATCTTGGGTAGCCTCTGCAGCCTTGTTTTGGTAAATATATGATTTCAACAAAACTTTTTCTAAAACTGAAAACAGCTCATGAATGCTTCTTGCTCGATTATATTCATGGACTCTATCTGGGGAATCAATCTATTAAGGAACAAAATGTCTATGTTTACATTCTTTTTAATTTCCATTTTAACTTTTTCTCTTTCTTATTTTCTTCTTATAGCCCCTCATTTATCTATTTTTCTCCTTTCTTCTCTTCTTCTAACCCAGTGTCTGCTCCCCCCACCCCTTTTCTTTTCCTTGTCTTCTAGGAAATCTTTTCTCCTCCTGTTCTACTTCTTTTGTGCTTGGATTTACATCTCCTGTTGTCGTTGTTTTCCATAGAGAATTTGTTCCTATTGCATTCATGGGTTGTTTTACAGAAAATTATGGACAGTATAATTAAAATATTAATAATCTGGCTATGTAGTGATCCAAAAACGTAAGATATGTGAACATTTCACAAACACAACATTTGATTCTCCATTGCTGATGTCAATAAGGCATAGTCTCTTTGGTATAAGCTTCATGTTCAAGACGCAGCATCAATGAATACTTGAATTTTTCATGTAGCTTAGTATCCCTGTGAATTTAAATATATTACTAATGAACAGCAGTATGAAACTCTTTCCAATATGTTTTCATTTTTTATTGCACTGAGGTGAATTTTTATTTTTAGTCTTTAGTTCAGGTTATATAGTCTATGATGCTTTAAGGTAAGTGAGACTCTAAAGCTGGGCTGTAAACTGAAATGACTCTCCTCCCAACTTTGTATAGATTCACCCTATGAGTGGTTATAGGTCCCAGGATTCTCGTTTCTTTCGTAAGGTTGTTATGGTCAACATTTATTGCACACTTACCATGTGTCACTCACTCTTCTAGAAGGGCCTGAAGAATATGACATAACCCCATGAGGTAGGTGCTATTATCATATTCACTTCATAGATGAAAATCTGAGACACAGATTCCCCAAAGGTCACAAAGTAGGTGACAGAACCAAGATTTTAACTCAAGAGGTCAGTTTCCAAGTCTGAAATGTTGACCACCATATAACTGCTTCCTTGATAAGGCAACTTGGAAATGCACACATCGACTTCCCGACAACTGAGATCTTCATCTCCGCTCCCTTTCATTATACAGATGTCCTTTCACCTATCTTGATTCAGATCTGCTCCATCGGCAAGACCTTGGACTTGGCAATCCCTCATTCAGCTGCCTCCTTACCTTTAATGCCTCCCACTTCTTCACAACTATAGAACCTCTTCAGCATCCCCATTGAACCTCCTGACTCTGTTTTCCCAGGGCCATTCATGCCTCATTCCTGCCTTCCCTTCCTTCTCTGCCACACCAGGAGGACCTGCCACTCATCTTGTATTTTCCTACCTTTTAACTTCACTGACTCCTTCTGTCTGGATTATTCTATAATCTCTCCCTCCATTTCAGCTTATTAAAAATATTCCCCAACCTTCAAATGCAAAAAAAAAACAAAAAAATGGGATGGATATAAATGTGTCTCCCAGATCCACAAGCTGCTTTACCTGGGAGATCTCAGGTCCTCTCTACCCATGGTACATCAGGAAGGACTTCCAGTCGGGTGGTGTTAGGGGGAGTTTTATTTGAAAGTGGTTCCAAAACCTGTAAAAGAGATAAAGCAGAAAAATGTGTTTGGGAAATGTCCACGCCCGTTGTTTGCCAAGATCTGCTTGGTACCTGGTTCTCTGCTCTCCCTGAGACAGCATTTCTTGTACTGTTTCAGATATCCGTGTAGTTTTACATTTCTAGTACGTTAAATGCAGTCCCTTAAAATCTGACAACTGTGTCTTATTTTTATTTGTCCATGATAGGCCTTGCTTTAAGGAATTCTCATATGTAAAATATAGATTTGTATTCTGTGCACAAAAGCATTAGGACCCAGTATTGGTGAGGGTGCTGGTAAGTGGGCTGCTACAATATTTCTGGGAAGGTGAGCTGGCTTCCTCAGAGCAATCTGGCAGATGCATCAAAAGTCTACACGCTGCGTGTATGTTGGATACTAGCAGCTCCACTCGTAGGAATTTATCCTAAGAAACCACCATGAAAGTATGCATGACACATCAACAAGTTTATTTGCCAAAACGTCATTTCAAATAGTGAAAAGTTAGAAACTTACAGGGTGCATCAAAGATTGTTCAGTAAACACGTAGGTACAAAAGTATATATAGTACTGTCCCATTTTTATTAAAAAAACAAGTGCCTGTGATGAAAGATTAACTAGATGTGTGTGTGTTAGTCGTTCAGTCATGTCTGACTGTTTGTGACTCCATGGGCCATAGCCTGCCAGGCTCCTCTGTCCATGGAATTCTCCAGGCAAGAATACTGGAGTGGTTTGCCATTTCCTTTTCCAAAAGGAACTAGATACCAAAATACAAATTGCCTCTCTGGATGGTGGGGTCATTTGTTGTTTTAACTGCTTTTTGTTTTGGAGGGTTTTTTTTAATTTAAAAAACATTAAAAAAAAAATTTCCTGCAGTAGATATGTATTGGTTTTATGACCAGAAAAATATTTAATAAACTCATAAATCCCATTTTGAGAACAACAAAGATAAATTGGGCTATGACTGCTTTCCAAGATTTATTATGGAATTCTCTTACACTTACACTGCTCTTACATTTATGACCTATTTTATCAAAACAATATAACAAAATAGTCTTCAGCATCAGTATCTCAGAAGCTTCCAAGTGAAAGTGAAAGACTCTCAGTCGTGTCTGACTCTTTGCAACCCCAGGGACTGTATAGTCCATGGAATTCTCCAGGCCGGAATACTGGAGTGGGTAGCCTTTCCCTTCTCCAAGGGATCTTCCCAACCCAAGATGGCATTATTTTTTTAAAGAAAAGTAACCTTCAAATCTCCCCCAAAGTTGCTACATTTCCTTTTTTTCCAGAACAAGAAGTATAAGTGCTGCTGAAAATGAACAAAACTTGGAATGTTTTTTAGCAGGTAAAATGTTTGAGGTTGATCTATGTATCCCAGCACTAGGGACCCCAAAGATAAATTAATGAGTAACAATGCAAATTATGTGTGTACTAGGATGACATTAAAAAACAACAACAATAACCTCCCCTCCCCAACTCTATGGGACATTTTATTGAGAACAAATAAAGTTACTGAAGTGCTCATGCACTCAGAAATAGGCCTGGGATGATACACATTGTAGTCTGATCAAGTGTTACCCGGGAGAGTGGGTGGAGGGAACAGCAGAAAACAGATACAGTTTTCTGGGAGGTATGGGTGGGGTAGGTTTATTTCTTTTTATTTTATATACTTCTACATTCTTTAAATGTTTTAAAAATCATTTCAAAACATTCAAAAAGAAATAAAAAAGAACATTCAAGACATGCCTGTGCTTTTGAGCTCAAGGCAGAAACTAGATAGTAGGCTTTGCTTGTTTAAAATTAAATTCCTGAACTTTTCAGAAGGTCAGTGGTAATGATAAGAAAGTATTCTCCCTCTTGCTGATTATTTTGTAAATATGAAGATAGCAAGTGGGCCTTCCTGACCCTTAACTCAGCTGGTCCAATGATAGTCTCAAAGACATATACAGGTTTGCAATGAGAAACTTGCACAGTTTTGATGTGTAAGCAGGTAGAGATTCGGAGGGTCATTCCCCTTAACCAACTAGCTCACCAAAGTCATGCTCAGAGCTGGACACTGACAAGTATGTGTGACGTGGGAAATGATTGTCTTCAGTGATCAAGTCTTTGCACACAAACAGCCCCTCCTTGTTCCTGTCTTGGCCAGGCACACCCTTTCTCCCTTCCCTTTCCTGTACCATGAACCACTTTAAGATACTGAAACATATTTGCATGAATGTAGAAACAATGACTCTTTAAAATGTTATTTTCCTAACCAGATTTGCTTTTCAACAGATTAGCAAAGAAATAAAGCACTGATGGTGGAATCGCCCACATCCATCAAAATTTGGGGGCAGAGTCAGCCACTGACTCGGCTTATACACCCGCAGCATCCTCTGCAATGGCTTAGGGCACGGCAGGCATTTTCAGACTTACAGATGGTGGTATATGTCAGGATCCCGCTGAAGCCGGGTTTGGAATCCTATATACAGGTCGTCCCAGAGCAGACCATTCTTCACCACGTGTCTGATGACGTCAACCCGGCTCCGAATCTGAAACAGATAAGGGAACAACTAGCAGGGGCGCCCCAGCCAGCACAGAGCATCGGTGTCAACCCCTTGTGTCCCTGAAAGAGGCAGCTGTCCATAATGCAGGGGTCTGAGAGGTCAAGGAGAAAAGCCTACTGACGTAGATGTCACAGGCGGAGGTGGGAGGGGACATCTGAGTGAAGCAGAAACGGAGAGAAGGAAAACAGGAAGTGTATCCGGAGCTGGGGGAGCAGAGTGACAGCACAGACAGAATCAGATTGCTGGGCTCAAATCCATGGTCCAGCTGTGTGATCCTGGCCACCATTCCGTGCCTCAGTTTCCTCATCTATAAAATGGAGATAATAGTCGGTCCCTCAAGGGACCGACTGAGTCAATGTACATAAAATGTGTAAAACAAGGCCTGCCACTGAGCAAGAGCACCTTAATTCAGTGGCCAAGGCCCTTACCTTTCAAGAATCCCAACTCCTGACACAGGATCTGCTGACTAGTCAAAGGTGCCCAGGGTTAGGAGGCAAGCAGAGATGTTTTTGAGTCTCAGCTCAGCACTTACTAATCATGTGACCTTAACCTTGCTAAGCCTCGGTCTCCTGTGTTACTGTTGTGAGAAAAAAAGAGATATTTATGAAATAAAAGGGGGAAAAAAAGCACGAAGTAGTGTGAAGGGAAGTTAACTAAGGTTGGACATGGTTTTAACACTTCACTGGCATCCTTTTTCAGTATATGGCATCACATTTTTTCTCCTGATAAATATGCTAATACCAGTAGAGGCAACTTTATCATAAATGACAGAACGATTAGAAGACTGGCGTTTGGATTTATTTCTTTTTCCCACACCTTTTTGACGAAACAATGACATCCATTGTGAACTGAGAAGGCGAACACAGGTCAAAGAATCTCTTATTTTGCCAACAGAGACTCAGAAACATGACTGTGTAGCTTGTCAAGTTGAGGACTGCCCAGCTAAGGTTCAGTATCAAGACTGAATTCCTCGCAGTGGAGGAGAGAAGGTCTTTCATCATCTTTCAAACTAGAGACAAGCATGTGGAAGAATCAGGCAGGCTTTGAGAAATGTTTGGACTAAAAAATGGAAAGGTCTTGGTGGTTTGATTAGATCTGGGGATGAGGGAAAAGGAAAAAGGTGAAAAGCTCTGCTTCTAGCTGGAGTCACTGGTGGGTTGGGGAGAGGGGGAGGAGGCACTAATATTGCCAATGATCAGACAGAAAATGAGAAAGAGCAGTTCTAAGAGAACAACGATGTGTTGAATTTTGAACAATGAGGTACAAGGATTTGCAAGTCCAGGTGATATTATCTAATAGGCAATTAACTCTAATGAATCCAAAGCTGGACAGTGTTGGTGGGAGCTGGAAAAGTCTGGATTTTTGGAGCCATTAGCAGAGATGTGGTGCTAGCAAATGTGTTCACCCAGATACAGGCTTGAGAAGATGAGTGGGTTGAGCACAGAACCCTGATGGAAAACAGGAGATGTAAGTGGTGGCTGGAGAAAGAGACCCCAAAAGAATACAGAAGAAGTTAGGAGGCCTAGTGCACTGGAGCTGAGAAAGGACTTCTAGTTCAAAATGATGGACAGATCCCATGCCTAACCTGCCTTCCAGCCATTTCTGGATGCAACTGAAGTTGCTAACAAAGCAACTGCACAGGTATGAGCCGCCACAATGAAGAAGAAGTGAAGTGAGTCTTTGGCAGAAGATTTCAACTAATGAATGTGAACGTGGAAAGCAGGTAGGTGAGTGGCATTAAAGAACAGGGCAGAGGCTGCAGAATCCAGGAGAGTATGAGAAAGGACGTTCAGATTTGGAAAGAGAAGAGGTAGGTGCACTATGAATAACAGCAGGGGCACAGAACACAAAATTATGTACATGAAACAGTGAACACCCACTTCCCTATGCTTACACATGGTTCTGGGGCCAAATACCTTCAGACAGTTCTCTGACTAAATGGAATCAATTTTACAGGAAGAATGAAGGCAGGGAGTGTATTTGTGATGCCTCATCACAAATACAAGGACCTCCACATTTCGGTATTTAGGAGTCCCTCAAGCCTAATAGCTGGCTCCTCACCTTCATAAACTCATTTGAGTGCTCCCTTGTCCACATACAATCTAGGTTATAGTTCATAGCTTACTCCCTTTTAAAAAAAGGAATTAGCCTTCCACATTTATAAATCTAGATGTTTCACATGAAAATCCAGATATCCAAGTTTTCTGGAAAATTCAGAGGATCAGGTGGAGCTCAGTAGGGGCGCCTCCTCTCCCATGCTTTCCACTTGACCCAGTTCCCAGTCAGTCCATCTGCTTAAAGATCTGCCTGGGGTCTATTTGTGGGCATTTAAGCATGTAACCCCCACCTTCAAGTAAAGCCTGCTGGATAATAAGTCTTACCCATATACAGAGAACCCTGAGTCAGCTTGAAAAGGTTTTTTTTTTTTTCTGTAAATATAGATCAATCCCTTAATTCTTAAAAGTCACCTACAGTGGAAGGAAGGTCAGCGTGGGATAAGCAACACTGCACGCAACTAGAGGCCAAAGGAGCAATGCCTTCAGGTATCCGTGGAAAGTGACTGCCACCCAGCATTATGTGTTCAGCAAGCTGTTGTGCAAGATCAGGCAGGAAAGTACTTAAAGGGTAGCTCCTGTGCCAACTTTCTTCAGCAGATACCTAAGCAGAAAATACCACAAAGGAAGAAAGCAAAGAAGTGAAGACATGGGTGGAGTCTAGAAGAGGTTGAGGGAGGTCACAGGGTGACAGATTGGCGGCAGACCCAGAAAGGAGCCCATCCAGACCGGAGCAGGAGCTCCTGAGAGCTCTAGGAGCCGGGCATCTAGGAAAGATGGAGAGTTGGCATGATAGAAAATATATTTACGTGTTTGAAAGGCAGTGAATGCCTCCCCTCCAAAAAAGGCAATATGAAAAGGCTCCAAGTGGCAAGAGATGGAGCTCTTCCAAGGATAACCTCTTTAAACAAACCTCAACATACAGAAATCTTACTAAAATCCTGAGATATAAAAGCACTGAGAGTCAAAATAGGGACCACCATGTATGCGGCAGGCATGATGATTTGCCCCATGGTGTGGTAAGTCTGCTCATTTGTATTGAAGAGAGCTGTTGCTAGCTTTATTCAACAGAAGCAATGTGAAAAGCTGTAAAAACATGCCTTTTTTTTTTAATGACATATTTTAAATGAACTTGTGATTTTAAAAATTACAAGGAAAAATCTCCCTTATGGTTAACAGATACCTTAATTTATGTTTCGTAAATTCAGATTTAAGAAGCAATGCAGTGGCTAAATACACAGCCTCTGCAGTTAGACCCCTTGCTGTTAAAGCCTTCAGCATGACTTACAAACTGAATGACCTTGGGCAGATTATTGAAACTCTCAGCAGGGCATTTTCCTCATCTGTAGGGGAGTATAGTAAAATCAATTCATATCATGGTTGTTAATATTAAATGACTTAAAAAAATTAAATGACTTATATGAAGCTGTGTTATGTATGTGTTTGGTAAAAAAAGCAATAAAATATCAGCTTCATTTTGCTTAAAATGGGTGTTTCATGTAGCGTTTTCCTACCTGTGAAAACTCAGTTTTTTAAAACCCCCAAAGCAGGCAGTAGATTATTGGTTTTACTAAAGTCTCAGCATAGGATTCTCTTCAACAGCAAGTACTAAACATAAAAATACAAATCCAATTATTAAAATGTAGTTTAAGAACAGCTCTATTATATAAAGGTACATTTAAACCTCTATAATTAAGGCATTACAAATTTATATGGCACATGTTTAATATGCTTAAGGGCAGACTATACACCCTCCTAATTTATCTAGTGATTCTTACATGTACATAGAATTTAAAATTACAATCCACGCTCATATATATTATGTCATTTGAGTATCATAAAAAAATTGTAAAGTAAGAAGAAGCCCCATGGAAGGGGGAGGAAAAAAAAAAAGACTTGAACAGGGATTCAAAGGCTCATAGTCAGTAATCCTAATCAGCAGGGGTAGGGAACCCATACCAGTCTTGACGTTATGTCCAAAGCCCCAGCTCTTAACATCATGCCTGACTTGGGCTAGGGATCTGCTAAAAGCTGGAACTCAACAAAATATGCTTTGGTTTATGTTGACAATTTCCTGTAGAAAGCCACCAATAGGGTTTGTTTGTGGAAGGAGACACTGCTGGAGAAAAGGTAGAGGGGCAGATAAAGATCAATGCTTGCAGGTCTGCTAACAGCACAGGAGGGTCAGCTGTTTGGAAGGAAGCAGGTAGAAAAGCCAGTCTTTGCAAATGACTCAAAAAGAAGCAAGTATGGAGTTTAGTTAAAAAATATTCTTTCAATATCGGCATATTTGCGACAAATGTAGCATGTTAAAGTAGTATGTTAACATTCTCTGTACTTATCCTTGTGACTTTACCATAAATCTAAAGTTACTCAAAAATTTTTGGAGTAAATTTAAAAATTTATTTATTTAGGGAGGAAGGAAAGAAGGAAGGAAGGAGCATTTCCACTGGTGTTGCTGCTTACTTCCTCATATGGATGTTCCCGGCTTGGTCTTTCTTTTGGAAAGGATAAATCTAGAAAGTCAACCAAATAGTCATATCCTCCAGGAAAAGGGCTGAAGTCCTCATCTGTCTCAATCATCTGTGCAAATGACAATATGGTAAAGGGGAGAAGCATATCAATCTGGTGGTCAAGATCCTCAAAAAATTCTAGAATGTGCAAGCAAATGATAGCAATGAAGTGGAATAAATATAAAAAGAGGCTTGCCTCTCTCTTCTCTCCTACTCCCCTTATCACTCTGGCTCTCTAACTCTCTCTTCTCTTTCCTGAATTGAATTCTAATCCTACTCTTCTACACTAGCCAAACTGTTTCATATCACTAACTGCATTCACATTTACAGAGAAGGTTATCATTGTCTTAGATATATGTATAATTAGTATACTTGGTAATTAGTAAGTATAATTGGTAATGAGCTATCAAATACCACTGTAGTTTGCAAGCTAAAAGATAAATAAAACATGGAATGTTTCTCACCATCACCTAGCAGCCAAACATAAAAAGTGTCATTGAAAATTCCAAATATTTTCTCTTTTTCACATTAATCACTCAACTGAAAATCTCATTTAGACCAAAGTTCCTCAGGTCTTCGTTTTCAAAGACAATTTTCTAAAAAACATTTGGGAGCTAGTAGAGGCATCAATATTTCATTTTGCTAAGTGAGGACTTAAAAAAAAAACACGTACATCTACTATCCTTTTATTTCATTAAAGGAAAAATGCTTTCATGCCTCAAAAATAGAAAGGACTAATTTTGGAAGCCTGGCATGCTGCAGTCTACCCGGTTGCAAAGAGTTGGGCACAATTTAGCAACTGAACAACAACAATCTTGGAATAATGACAATTCATCCCAAGAAAAGAGAGTTGACATCTTTGTAACCATACTCACATGCATCCTCGTTTCATTATTGACCAGCAAAAGCTTTGTCACAGCCTGGCACTGACCCCTAGGTAGCTTTTTAGGACTTACTGATTTTGAGAATGCTAAGTATTGTCTGCTACCAAGTATTAATGTTCAGGGGTTGAAAGGTAAACTTGAAACTAATCCTCACCTTAAGGATAACCAATCTTTGTTTCCAAGGGTATAATGTCGTCCATTTCCTGATGCGTTCCCTAAACTTTGCTCCCCATGCACAAATTCAGGCACTAAATATAAGTGGGATAAAATATACAGATAAGTACTGCAGGGGTTTCCAGCCCATTTCGGACCTCCTCTTTCTCTTTCACCCCCTGCTTTTTGGCACATATTTTGCTTTTGGATACAGCCTCAGTTTTCTGGTGACCAGCTTACAGCATGAACCACTTGAGCCTGTAAGTTCTGTGTGTATATGTCAGGGCTAATTTCAGTTCCAGGCTGACCCCGGGGTTGGTTGCACCTCACTCCTTACCATGGCTGCAGATAAGAATTACCCACTTCCCTGCTGCTACAGGAAACCACCTCTCTGGTGGAGTCCACCTGCTAGTTTCACAGTTTAAATAGCTTTTTTCTGCCATACAAACACAACACAGCAAAATACCGACAAAACAAAAACAGCTAACACAGGGTGATGGGAAGAAAAGGAGTGCTCCCAAAGAGAAACTTAGCCGGACCTCAGAATGCTTCCTATGAAAACATTTTCCAAACAGGATTGCTTTAGCACATTGTCCCATCGATTCTCTGTGAGGCAAATGGTAGGACTTAAAAGATGCTTATTGAGAAACAAATTGGAATATGAAGGGGTTTTCATATACTTCCATAATACAGGAAAGCAAAGACAAATAGTATTTCATAAGCATACCCTGACCACCAGGTTGTAATCCTTAAATCCAGCCCAAGTGAAGTATTCTTTTATCCAGGATGAGTGATGAAATATTTCATCTCCTACAGCAGCATTCAAGATTTTCAAATATGGTCCAAAGTCCCAGGAATCCTTGTAAATTTTAGTCCCCTCCGGAGGCTCAATGATGCCTTTGCTTAAAGACAAAAAGGTGAGAGAACAAGGAAAGAAGATAGCAATAAATAAGGAAGGAAGGCAAAAGCTAACACTTCAATTTCAACAGTCAATCAGAGGAACAGCTTTTCGATCATTCAGGTGGTACCCAGGGGTCCCACAGAAGTGCCCTGGGGGATACTGAGGGGTAGGGCCCTTCCCTAGCCTTAACCAGAATAAAGTGAAGTCGCTCAGTCATGTCCAACTCTTTGCGACCCCATGGACTGTAGCCTACCAGGATCCTCAGTCCATGGGCTTTTCCAGGCAAGAATACTGGAGTGGGTTGCCACTTCCTTCTCCAGGGGATCTTCCCGACCCAGGGATCAAACCCGGGTCTCCTGCATTGTAGGCAGACGCTTTACCGTCTGAGCTGCCAATATCTCCTGTTAATTGTCTAGTGTGACAGCTCTCAAAGTCAATACATTTAAAGATAAAAGTACTTCTCTGGAAAAAAAAAAAGTTGGAAAGCCACTGATGTAGACCCTTTCAGCTCAAATCACTAAATTATGGGAATGTTGAATATAATATGGTCATGTTGATTTTGTAGAAGCCTGCTCACACCTGCCCTACCCTACCACCTCCACTAGAATATAAGTTTGATGAGAGCAGCAACCATGATTGGCACACAGAAAGTGTTAGTCATGTCCACCTCTTTGCTACTCCATGGACTGTAGCCCGCCAGGCTCCTCTGTCCATGGGAAATCCCAGGCAAGAATACTGGAGTGGGTTGCCATTCCCTTCTCCAGGGGATCTTCCTGACCCGGGGATCAAACCCTGGTCTCCTGCTTTGCACGAAGATTCTTTACTGTTTGAGCCGCCAGGGAAGCCCAGCCATAGAAGGGGCCCCATAAACATTTGCTGAACAGAGGAATGACTTTAGCCTGTCCTTGAGATATACCCAGAGTTTTGTGTCTTTAATATATGGTCATCTTTCTGTACTAATGAAAGCCGACAGACAGATGGGCAACTCTACCTGGAAACCCAGTCAGCAATATGGATGACAGTTCTCTGACATTCCTAAAGCTGTCCATCCAGTGTGAGGATGGATCATTGCATGGGACATGGAAACTTGAATCCTGGCAATAGAACAGAATGTGATCGGGATGAGGGAATCGTGATGAGGAAATGGGCACCTGCTAGTAGAGATTTGGCAACTCTGTGGCACTTCTCAAAACAACACTTTTAGTCCATTGTTTGACCAAAGCTAGAGATGCACTGGTTTTGGTAATAAATTACTTGTCAAATCCTAAAGTTTCTAACTTATAAATGAATCTCAAATCTGTTTTCTCAACTCCTCGCCTCCTCTCAGTTTATAGCCTCACTAGTCTCTTGCTGGATAGAACCTCAGCCTCCCAGCCTTCCTGACTCCAGTTCTTCCCACTGTGGCCTCTTCTACATGCTCTTCTGCAAACTGAAATGGGTTAAAAAAAAAAAAATACAACGCAGTAATGATCCTTCCTCACTTTATAACTTTCTCAAGCTCTCCTTACTCACAGGCGAGTTCCCTGGACTGTTTTGCAAATTCTTTCCAGCCCTGGCCGGACACGGTATTCCTGTCTCACCCTTTCCCTTCCCCTTCACTTACCGCCCCTACACTGGGGTGGATTTCACTTCATGAGGGAAGGACCTCTGCACAGCTGTTTGCCTGTACCCACTATGATGCCAAGTTTGCAGAAGGAGCTCAGTAAGTTCTTTCTGAACAAATGGCATACTATTTACTTACTCAAAGTAAATATATTTACTAACGCAACACTGTAAATCTACTATATTTCAGTAGAAATATTTTTTTTAGAAAAGAAACAAAAAAACGAAGTATTTGCATTTACCAGACTCATGACATTATTTGGACCTCCCTTCTCTAGCACATGCCAGAATCTCGATCTCGTGCTCTCTTAATTACTCTCTGAAACCTCCTCCTGATTTCTAAGGCACAAATGCTTTCCTGGACACATTTACTGTTCTCTCCTGCCCCTTCCTCCCCTCACAAGAAGGCAGAGTTAAGCACTTAGTCTCCCTATATCCCTTACTCTGTGTCTTACAATTGAGAATCCAACAACAACCAAACTTCTTGTTACCCAGAATGCTTTGGTGTGACTTGATGATACAAATGCAGATTCCCGGGCTCTGCCTCCTATCCACCCAATCAGAATCTTAGAGGGTGGAACCCAAGGAGCTGCAGTTATCCAACTGACTGGAGTTATTCTGATGCGCTTTCAAATTTGAAAATTATTACCATTGGATACATCTGGGGAACTGGAGAGAGAGGATGGAGAATTCTGCAAAGGCCAAACGCCAGACTCTTGAATGCCCTGCTAAAACCTGAAATAATTAAAACCTTTTCTCACCCCTGATCTAGAGAATACAAACTGCTTTTACCCTTGAGATACTGGGGAGATTCTAAGGAATTTTAAGCAGGGAAGGGGACAGAGTTTTGCATTTAAAAAAGGTATCTTTGGCAGCAAGGTAGAGTAGGGGTTTTCCAGCTCCTTGCCTGTGATCCCAGTAAGGATTCTATTTTACATCAGGACTCCCACATACCAAGGGCACTTGTGAGACAAAAGTTGCCTGAAATAATACTATCCCTTGTTATATTACTTGGGCGATGTACTCAGGTCTATTCGATTTTACTCTATTACGTTTTTTAAAAATGCTGGCTGTGGCCAATGCCATTGATGTTTACAAGCCAGCGGTGGATTGTGAGCAGCACACGATCAGGATGTGCTGAAGGATGGGTCAGAGGAGGGGCTCGGGGGCCACTGCAGGAGTCTAGGTGAAAAGCTATGAGAGGCTAAATTAAAGTCACAATGGAAGAACTAGAGTGATGGATTTGTGAGAGATTTATGAAGCAGAATTGACTAGATGTGGCAACCAGTTGGGTATGGGAGGTTAGCAAAAGGTCATAATCAGCTGGCTGCACCATTCATGCCAACTTTGCAAAGGTAAGGCCACGAGAGGGGTGTGCTATTGGTGTGTCCAGTTTTCCAACACATTTAGTCCATTTCTATATAAGGGTGAGGAACTAACAGATTCATTTGGCTCAAAACAAGTATTTGTAAGGGGCTTGCTAGTGGCACAGTGGTAAAGCATTCCCTGGGTTGGGAAGATCCCCTGGAGAAGGAACTAGCAACCCACTTCAGTATTCTTGCCTGGAAAATTCCATAGACAGAGGACCCTGGCGGGCTACAGTCCATGGGGCTGCAAAGAGTTAGACATGACGTAGTGACTGAGCACATATGCAAGTATTTGAAAAATCTAGACCTGTGACATCAAGGTTGACTTTTCCTGAATGGCATGCCCAGTGCACTGTTTATTGTTCAAATGTACTATCTGTGGAATTGGTAGGTGGGTAATGTTTATGCTCCTATGAAAACTAACTCTCAAGCTCATTGTTTTTCTTTCTTTTTTTTTTAAATATAAATTTATTTATTTTAACTGGAGGCTAATTACTTTACAATATTGTCGTGGTTTTGCCATACATTGACATGAATTCGCCACGGGTGTACATGTGTTTTTCACTTTGAGCTGTATCAATTATCTTTCAAAGAGAAAACTTCCTAACTCTTTATCTCCAAGGAAGCTTCTGAGATGAGGAAAACACTTGGGTAACTATTATACAGGATGAGAAAATTATTTATAGGACTGAGAAAAAAATTCAACCTTTTATCCCCTAGATTTGAAAGATATTTATTTAATAGTTTTTTATTTGAATGGTAAGACTTCTGTTTAAAAAAGTGATGTATGGATATTAATTCATGATAAGTTTAGGATGCTAGTCAAAAAAAATAAAATAAACCTTAATATTCCTACAAATAGGGACCTACTAAGAGGCCATAAGTATGTCCTTTATTTTCTCATAAAACTGAAAAAAAAATTCCTGAATCATTTTTATTCTCTATTAAGTATTTAAGCCAAACCTGTCTGTTGGATCCTTTAGCATCCTTCCCAGATCAAGAGTGGCTCCAGGTCGCGGCGTCCACGTTAACACATCAGAATTTTTCTTGATAAGACTGTTGAGTTCATCTGGGTCATTTTTGATGTTTGTTTCCTTAATATACCTGAGAAATAAGGACATTCCCATGTCAGAAAGCTTATTCTCTGTTGAAATTCTGATTAGGACAATGACAGAATTTTTATTTGTTTCCTCTGCATTCATACTTCCCAATCCCCCTCTACTTACCTCAGGAAAAATAAAGATTATATCTGGGCTAATGTTCCTAATTAGGGAAGAGCCAAATAAGGTTGAATTTATAGCTTGTTTTTAAGTAATAATCACATAGTGATTGGAACTGAAGTTAGATAGAGGGAGACTATTATAAAGAGGTGGGAATAGCACACTCATATTTTATTTTTCCCAGTTTTTTAAATTGAAGTGTAGTTATTTACAATAGTGTATTAGTTTCAGGTGTATAGAATATTGGTTTGTCTTATCGTATTTAATATTAATTAAATGTGGTGGTGGCGGTTTAGTCGCTAAGTTGTGTCCGACTCTTGCCACCTCATGGACTGTAGCCTGTCAGGCTCCTCTATCCACGGGATTCTCCAGGCAAGAATACTGGAGTGGGGTGCCATTTCCTTCTCCAGGGGATCTTCCCAACCCAGGAACTGAACCCGGGTCTCCTGCACTGCAGGCAGATTCTTTACCAACTGAGCTATGAGGAAAGCCCTTTAATTAAATATATAGATGATTAAATATTATCTGGTATGTAAATGCTAAGCAAATAGCATGAACTAATTGTTTTTATCTTTACAACCCACTAATAAGATACCTGCCATTATTACTCTCATTTTATACAGAAAGAGACTAAGGATCAGAGGAGCCAGTGACTTGTCCCAGATCAGCAGTGTTGATCCAGCTCTCTATCGCCAGAGCAGGGCTTGATCTTCCCAGGAGGCCACAAGGAGGAGCCTCTCCCCAACTTTAGGAGTAAAGTCTGATAAATCTGTCCAACCCCTTCCACCATGTAGGGTTATATTAAAAAAGATGTGTCTAGTCTGAATTGAGATATTATATAAGTATAGAATAAACATTGTACTGAGAAGCTTTAGAATGATAAAAAGAATGTAAAATATCCTATTAATATTTTGATATTCATTACATGTTGAATAATATTTGGATGCATCAAGTTAAATAAAGAATAGTGTTAAAATTAAAAAAAAAAAAAAAAGATAGGCATCTATGAACCAGGTAGCAGGCCCTCACTAGACACTAAGTCTGCCAGCACCTTGATCTTAGACTTTCCAGTCTTCAGATGTGTGAGAAATAAATTTCTGTGTTTTAAAAGCCTCCTCCCAAAAAAGTCTTTCCATTCAAAACCATTAAAATCCACTGGTTAGAAAAGAGCACACACAAATCCTTGGTCATAGCCCCTCCTGAGATCTATTTTCTCATTGTGTTATTGATCAGAGCTGAGTATCTCCCAAATTTAATTACAAACCACCGTCTTTCTGGAAAAGTTCTAAGTCATCAATTTCAATGTTATTTGGGAAGGTAATTGTGGTGGTGCTGGAGTCAAAAAAGAGAGGTTCAGAGAAACTGGCTTTGTCACTGTACTTCATCAGACATGGGTGACCCAAGCATTTTTGTTAAAGGGAATTTTACTTTCCTGTGATACAGCTTGGCTACCTAGACTGGATAGATATTTTCAGCCAGATATACAAACATATGTAAGCATTGCGATTTCATAGCTCCAAGGTGACTTACATTTTTTATGATCTTGGGATCAATTTTGCAGACATGAGGAAAGATGTCTGTCCACCCAAAGATGTCTAACTCCTTCCTTCCTGCACATGTGAATGTCCTTCCCCTGGCACAGCCCTCAGTTTGAAGCAGTCTCACCTCCTGTTCTCATCTTCCTACCTCTCTTCTCAAAATGACTCATTAACTGGTTTCCTTGCCTCCTGAGAAACATGACGCTATCAGATTACTCTTCCTAAACACAATGTGTGGCATTCACAAAATTCTTTAACTTCTTTGTCTCCATCTCTAAAATAATAATAAAATTGATACACACCCAGATGCTACCCTCTGAGGGGTATTGTGAGTACCAAGGGTAACATCTGCCAACCACTAATACACAGAAGAATAGCTTTGTAATCACTTTAAATGCCAGCATCATGTTAAGTGGTCAAGTGTCCCATCGGTAAGAAACCATCATATCTAGTTCTTCTCCAAGTTCTCACAGTGCAATCTCCTTGATATTTCTAGAATCTGAATTCTCTTCTCAGTCTCCAATGTTTTTCATCAATCCTTTCGAGATTGTTGTAATGATTTTCAAACTGGTCTTCAGGATCGATATTCCTTTCTCCCTTCCCACCACACATACAACCTAACCTCCCTGGTGCCCATCTGATCATGTCTCTGCTCATTAGACCCCTTTACCGGGTTCCTCACTCTTAAGGATAAATCCAAGTCATGGGGAGTGGCACACAGTGATGTTCACTGTCTGGTTCCCTCTGTTCTCTCCTCCCCGCCTCCTCAAACACCTGCCTCAGTCCCCTACACTGAACTGCAGTCTCTCATCTCAGCATCTTTCTATCTAACAAGATAGGTCAGGGTTTACTAATACTTCAAAACTTTGTTTCAATCGTCCCATTCATAGTTTCCAATAGTCATTTTCTGACTCCCACCTGTATCCCACTGCCTTCAGAACACACATGTGTCACAGCATTTATCATTCTACATTATCATTGTTTTTCTCTTCCAACTCTGAAGACAATCATTTCATCCCTGGTTCTCCAGGACCAAGAACATGCTGCTCAATAGATGAATGAATGAATGATGAACAGTATTGATCAAAAGAAATTATTATTTAGCCTTAGACCAGTCTATCTGAAAATATTTGGAAGATGTGAGACAGCTACATAATATCAACAAGATGTAATGAATGGAACACATCAGCAATAGGACATATTAATTGATAAGACACACGTAGATATGTCACCAGACAACATAGAACTTCAAAATGAAAGCAGTCAGGTTTTAATGATGAGACACATGAAGCCCAGAAAAGTGAAAAAAAAAAATTGCTCCTGATAAGTGGTAGTAGGGAAGAACCTAAATTCCACATACACTATTTCTCCTATTGTACTCTGAAGCCTCAGTTGATGAGAAATTATGATCAGCACTTACAGGATTTTGCCATAAAAATGAATCTCAAGGACTATTTCTTTACTACAACAAATTTACGGATAAATGTACTCTGAGTAGAATGACACATGCTTTCCCTGTCTGCTTATGGGAAGTCCCTGCCCTTTGTACACAAAATGCTCCACTTATTGATCATAAAGGGGATCTTCATGAAGCAGATGGCACTGGTGTTTGCTCATAAAGACACTATTATCGTTAACGGCTGAGTAACTGTGTGATGAAATAGATGCTCTGTATAACTGACAGAATCTTATAAAAAAATTACATCTATAAGATTTTAGCATTTAAAATAATAAAGCTATGCTTCAAGATTTACTAAATGAATAAACTGTATATTTTGTTTCTTTCAAAGGGTTCTGACCCATACAAAATGTGCATATATTAAGATATGCATTGTCTTACAAATATGATCTAAATAAACATGTAGCTTTAATTAATATGGCTGAGGTGTTAAGAATAACTGCTTAGATTTTTTAATTTTTAAGATTACCTAGATCCAATTTTTGGACTGTTTCGGGTGATCAGCTCTATGAACTTTAACATATGTGTAGATTTGTGCAACTACCACTGCAGTCAGGATACGGAGCAGTTCTCTCTGCTTTATAAACTGTTCTCTCAAAACTCCCTCGTGCTGGCCCGTCAGTCAAACTCTCCCCTCAGCCCAGCCCTTGGCAACCACCACTCTGCTCTCCATCCAGTAGTTTTGCCTTTTCTGGAATGTCATATAAGTGGAATCACACAATTTGTAATCTTTTGAGGCCAACTTCTTTTACTTAGCGTGATGCCTTTGAGATTCGTCTATGTTGTGTATATCAACAGCTATCTATTTTTTATTGCATTTATAGTGTGGATATATTATGGCTTGTTTATCCATTCACCTGTTGAAGAATATTTGAGTTGATATGATAATTATGAATAGAACTACTATTAGTATTTGTGTGTAGTTTTTGTGTTCAATAAAAGTTTAGTTTCTCTAGGGTAATAGCCCATGAATGGAACTTCTGGATTATATGATAAATGTGTATTTAAAGAAACAGTCAAACTGTTTTCCAGATAGCTGTATCATTTTGAATTCTCAATAGCAACGTCTGAGAAGTCTTATTGTTCTATATCTTTGTCATAATTGGACAGTGCTAATCTTTTATTAAATTTTATTAATTTTAAATCTTATTTTATTTATTAATTTTAATTCTATTGAAATTTTATTAATTTACATAACTTATTACTTTTAATTCTTATTTCATTGCAGTTTTAATCTGCATTCTCTAATGGCTAATGATATGGGCACATCATTTCTTATGCCTATTTGCATCAAAATATCTTCTTTGGTGAAGTATCTGTTCAAATATTTTACCCATTTATTATTGAGTTCTTCGCTTCCTTATACTGAATTTTGAAAGTTAATTATATATTTTAGACACAAATTGTTAATGAGATATATGACTTGCAAACATTTTCTCACAGTCTGCAGTTTGTCATTTTACTCCCTTAGCAGTGTCTTTCACAGAGCAAACATTTTAGTTTTGATAAAGCCCAGTGTATTAAAATTTTCACTTAACTGATTGTGCTTTTGGTGTCACATCTAAGAAGCCTTTGCATAACCCAAGCTCATGAAGATTTTCTCCTGTATCTTCCTCTGAAAGTTTCATAGTTTTATATTTTCATTTTTATTTATGACTCATTTAGACTTATTTGAGGGGATACTGTGTGGGGTGTACACTGAGGTTCATTTTTTGCATATGAATGTCCAATTGCTCAAATAACATTCTTTGAAAAGACTATCCTTTCTCCATTGAACTGTTTTTGTACCTTTGTCAAAAATCAAATGGCTATATGTAGGTGGATCTATTTTTAGATTCTATTTCGCTGACTTATGTGTTTATCCCTTCATCAATATCAGCTGTCTTGATTTCTGTAGTTTTATAGCGAGTCTTACAATTGGGTAGTGCGGTTCCTCCACAAGTGTCCCTCTAGAGTCATTTTCCTTTTATCCGTATAACTTTCTTTGGCATTTCTCTTAAAGGAGCTCTTCTAGTAATGAATTGTCTTAGTTTTCCTTTCATCTGGGAATGTTTTTATCTTACCTTCATTCTTGAAGGATATTTTCACTGGAAATAGAATCTGTGTTGACCGTTCTTTTCCTTAACCGCTTCAAAAATACTATTTTACTACCTGCTAGTCTCCATAGTTGATGACTAGAAATACAGTTACTTGAATTCTTCCATATACAAGGCATTCTTTTTCTCTTCCCGTATTTCTGTTTTTCCACAGATACAGACTGTCTCTCTACCTCTCTAAGCCACCTGCTCCATTCTTAACCTTTCAGGCAGAGATCCCTTTTGTGGGTCCCCTGCAAAATAGTTATTTCCTTCTCATATTTTAGGTAATAGATTAAAACACTTCAAAGGTCTATTATTTTATCTAATTCCTCTTCTCTGGTCAAGCCTTAGACCCAAAGATCATCCCTAAGGATGCTTAACTTATCTGCCTTCAGACTATAAGGTTTGACATGAAACACTTAACATGAAGCCAAATAAGGAAACCCTCTGGGTCTTGTTTTTTTTTAAACTCAAGCTCAGAAATACTTCCTCACTGACCTGACTTTAATATTCTCCAGTGTCATGGGGTGAATATTTCTATCAATTTTGTACTTTTCCCTTGAGTGGCCCATAACTAAGAACATGAAAGTAATAGAACGACACACTGTTTCACCTTCTCCAGCAGACTCTCTCAGACTGATCTTGGACATGCTTTCTCTTTATATCCTTTAACAGATGCTTGTCACTGTCCAAGACAGTGTGGAGTGCAAATTCTCACCACAGTCCAGCCCCTCAGTTCTTGGGTATTTCCATATAATGTGATGTGTGAGAGCTGTGAATGGCAGCAAAATCTTTTTCTCTGCTCCTTTTTCCATAGTTTCAAAGACAGAACTGATGTTCAGCCAGAACGCATAATAGTTGCTAAAATACTGGAATGGTTCAGTGCCATTTGGTTCAGAGCTGCCTCTCTGTCCTTTTTGCTGTCCCAGTCATCTGACCCTCCCCTGGATCTCCTGGCCCTCTCTCATGACACCATGCAATCAGAACAGGTACCAGGTAATGCTGTATCAGGTCTGGAGACTCTGCTCCTCCAAACTTCATGTGACCATTCAAATGAAAACCTTCAAACATTCTCAAAGAAAATTCACTGGCCTCCAAAAAATACACTTGAAAAACAAGATCTAGAAGTTATGCTGCTGCAAGAGAAATCCTTTCAGACACTCAAAAATGAGACTATAACTTGATAATGATACAGTCTCTATTCTGAGATATAGTGTGGTGTAGAGAAAAGAGCTCCAGAGCTAAGCATACCAGGATTCATTTCTTAACTCCAGTGTTTCCAGCAGAGTGATTTGGGCAAATCTCTTAGCCTCTGAGTTTCAACCAACTTGAACAGGCATAATGATACCTACCTTACAGTGTCATTGGGAAAACTAAATGACTTGATTAAATGCCCCAGTTCAATTTCTAGTGTATATTGAATACATATAACTTGCCTTTATCCTTTCCAGGATCCTTCTGGACAAAAATCTATCTGGATTAACTCTAGCTGCCAACCATTGCTTTCATTCATGCTCTCCATTCTCAGGCAGCTTGTTAAATAAACTCCAGACTCCTACCAATTACTCTCTCTCATTCCATGTTGCATTTACAACTAAATCATCCATCCCAGAATACATTAACTTGTGCGTGAATATGTTATACAAAACGTCCAGCCATACTTGTCTGATGGGTGGGCTTCCACAAAATACCCAGCAAAGGGGCAATAAATTCGGGGTTGTAGGTCCTTCACCAGCCGAGCCTTGTAGTTCAGGAGTTTCTTCCTTTCTGTTTTAATGAACTGGGCTTTCCATTCCTCTGGAATGACAGGTTTTGGATTAGAGTCTCCTCTGTTCAGAAATCACAGAAAAACAAAAGCTCTAGTAGAGAAATCTTTCAGGAGATAAAAACTGACAGCTGACACTCAGATGTAGACCAAAACTCTTTGTCATTAGTGGCTTTATTTTGCAAATTTCATTTGGTTACTAGGAAAACGTTCCTGAACTAGCCAAAGACACTGAAGCCTCTCCTTGTTTATGGCAATTCATGTGGACCTAGCTGAATACACAGGGTGGCATGTATAGTTGTACTTTGCATGAATGTATATTTTAAGAGCACTGTAATTCTTGTATTGCTTAATGCTCTTCTAACATGGAAATGGCTTTGCTATATGGGTGGATTATAAATGCAAAGCACGTTTGTTACACCCTGGGGTTGTGCAGCGGTCAAGGGCCTGGATATTGGAGTCAGTTAAGACTTAGGGTCAAAACGCAGCTCCACCACTTAAATCCTTTAAGTTCGTTTTCTCCTCTGTGAAATGAAATCATGATGCCTAGCTCACAGTTTGTTCATTTGGTCATTCATTCATCTGTTCAATATTTATTGAGCACCTACTATAAGCCAAAATAGTTCAAGGCACGGAAAATATAATGATGAACAAGATAAAGCAGTTCCTTGCTCTCATGGAGTAGTCATTCTAGTGAAAGATGCAAATAATAAATAAGTAAAAAAGTTTATTTCAAACAGTGACGACCTAGGAAGAAAGTAAAATAGGATCATGGGATAGAGAGTGGCTGGGGTGAGAAGGGGGGTATTAGACAGGGCAGTTAGTGAAGATGGCATTGGAGTCATAGAATACAGACAGACATAGGAGAGGAATTGGCCACTGTGTGGAGGGCAGGGGTAATAGCAATTCAGGCAGTGGAAACAGCACATGCAAAGACCAGGGCATGGATGTACTTGGTGTATTGAGTCTGAGGAACAAAAAGCAGGCCAGTATGGGCTGACATTGGTCAAGCAATGGGGATAAAGGCAGTAAAGGAAGTTGAGAATTTAGGCAAGGCCCAGAGCATGTGGGATACTGTGTCAGGGAGCTGCTCCTACTACTACTGCTGTGAACATCTGTTGAACACAGACAAGGAGACAGAAAAAAACTAAGTTATCCATAAGCTAGACCTGATCACTATTAACATTTAATTATTAACATACTGGTATATTCCGGACCTTCTTAAATATATGTGCGCATGCAAACACACACATACACATACTCACATAAGAATGATGTTCTGGGACTTCCCTGGTGGCTCAGTGGTAAAGAATCCTCCTGCTAACGCAGGGGACACAGGTTTGATCCCTGGTCCAGGAAGATCCCACATGCTGTGGTGCAACTAAGTCTGTGCGCCATAACTACTGAGCCAGCACTCTAGAGCCCAAGAGCTATAACTGCTGAGCCGAAGCACCGCAACTACCGAAGTCCCCATGCCTAGAGCCCATGCTCCGCAATAAGAGAAGCCACCACGATGAGAAGCCCACACACCGCAACTAGAGAGGAGCCCCAACTCGCTGCAACTAGAGAAAGCCCACACACAGCAACGAAGACACAGTACAGCCAAAAGTCAAACAAATAAATCTTAAAAAAAAAAAAAGGATGGAGTTCTGCTAGCTACCTTTAGTAGGTATATGTTGCCTCCCCAGTCACATTGTTAACCTCCTAAGGACAACACCTCCCCTCTATGTCTCACATGGTGACACATTCTGGGAAGCAATGAATACAGACTTAAGAGAAGAAAGGAAGGAACTGTACAAGGCTTTCTTCATATTGCAAGTAGGGCATTTCTTCCACATCATTAAACAGAGATCGCTTACAAAACATATGCATTTATTAAATGAACATATATGAAGCACTTTCAATGCTAGTACAGAGCAAAAGTATGAACAAAATGTACCACTTACACACCCTCCCCCATCCCAAACCTAGCACTACACTCAGACCCAGAGCAGAAGTGCTTCTTCTTTGGATTGCACATTTTTTTCTAGCTTTGAGATATAACTGATGTGTAATTTTACATAAGTTTAAAGTACACACCATGGTGATTTCGTTGCATGTATGCATGCCTAATGATTACCACAATAAAGTTAGCTTATTACCTCCATCACCTCATTACCACTCTTCATGTGTTAGAACACATAAGATTTGCTCTTTTAGCAACTTTCAAGTATAGAGCACAATGTTGTTAACTACAGTCACTATGCTGTACATCACATCCCCAGACCATATTTATAACTGGAAGTTTATACTCTTTGACCACTATTTGCCTATTTTCCCTGCTCCCCAGACCCCCATAACCCCATACTTTAGAGGGGCTTCTTTTGCCCCATCCCTCCCTGGTATGAGCATTCCACCAAGCCAAAGGCATATGCCTACCTCAAGGTGCCCACACTCTATTCTGAACCTCATACCAAGAGCATTTAAGCCTGGAATACCAATGTCAGACTCTTCCTGTTCTGCGCTATGGTCTACATCAAGAATCCAATTGATCCAAATGATTCTTTTTCTTGACTTATCCTGAAATGCTCCCTAATCCCCTTAGTGTTTCTTTCATGCTCCATCAGCATACTTTGAGCTGGGAGCTTTAGTCTGTAATCTGTGATTTGCAAGTCTGGTTTCCCAGTAAGATTGTATGTTTCTCGCAAGGAAGAACCATGTTTTAGTTATCTTTGTATTGATTTGCAAGGCATTTAGCAAAGTGCCATGCCTGCTCCCTGGCATCACTCTGATATAAAGTATTACCAGTAAACTTTCCACCACTGAAAGTCATCGGAAAGCCTGATGCTCCTCCAGCAAAATCACTCATCATTAAATCAACCTTCACAGGCAGCCTTCCTCCATTGGGTCTGGTGCAATCCACTGTGTTGAGTATTTTATGACCTGTGGAAAAATTATGCAGCATAAATACTCAAGGTGAAATCTTGAACACCATAGTTTGAAATCCCAGGCCAACAAAATCAAACTCCTCCTGTCTGATTCAGTTGGTTTTGGATGAGGATAATAATCAAGATCATAGACAGACTACTTTCCTTAGCCAACTATCTTCAGATGTTGAGCTCAAATGATGCAGGGGGAAAAATAACCAAATCAACACAAATCTGTCAAATTTTTGGAAATTCTATTTAATGACTGCTGGGGTAAAGCCATCTCCTCACAAGAAAAGCAGAAGTGTATGATTACATTACATAACAATATGTCAATATGAAAGTGAAACATTCAATAAAGGCAGTTTTGAAGATGTTACCATAGGGGAAATAAAAAGTATCTGTTCCCTTATGAAAAAAATCTTTGCACCTGTCACCACACAGAATATGTTACTGTTAAATTTTTCTCTGAGTGACAGATTTTCTGAGATTATCTCAGTGACAGTCCATTTTCCTAAGACAGGGATAGAATATACTATATCTTATGGAAAATGAAGATGGAAGAAGAAGATGAAGATAGGATGGAACTTTGAATAGCTATCATTATCTTTCCTACCAAGAGCACATTTCATTTTTCATTGCTGATGAAAATAAGAGAATACCTTTGTATTCCACGATAATGCAAGTGTCCATTTCAGGATGAACGCCATCCATCAGGATCATGAATCGGAGATTTTTGTCTACCTGGAATTTAATAATAAAACCAACAACTGTTTATGTCAGTTTGGCTTTTTGTTCAATATTTGAGTAAATGGTCATCTCTTCTGGAAAGAAATCCCTTTTATTCAGAATTGGATTTATTATCCAGTAAAGTCATACCATTGATTTATGGAGAGAAAAACTACTTTTTATTTTAGCTCAAATAGAGGTTTATACAGTAATACATACTTGCATAGTACTACATATGGAAAAAGTAAGCCATTGTTTCTTCAGTATTACAGCAACTACCAAAAATTTACCCCCAGAAAATATAACTGAAAAGTGTGGAAAAAACACTGATATCTGACCTGCTGCCATATTCCAAATGGCACTACATTGATATTAGTCAACTGGACACCACTCTGATTCAGATTCCAAAATACAGGTCTTTCTGTTTTTCCAACATAAATGGGGATATCTGGTCTTCTCCCAGCAAGCTTCTTCAGTGTAGGGTAACTAGGATCAGAAAGATGGGAAATTTGAAAGGTGAAAAAATTAGATCGTCTAGCATAAGACACTCCTCACACCAACATGTTGACCAAGAAGCAAGGGACAGAAAAACCAGACCCTCCCCAGAGTCCAAAAAACAGGGTTTTTCCTCAAGGTTGACTGTAACAATGAGGGGAATTTCCTAGCAGATTTCTCTTTACTGGGAAAACATATCATACACCACACTGTGTACATCAAACCAGGAGTGCAAATTCCATTTTCCATACTGATGCTGCTTTGAGCAAGGGTAGTTCTAACAGAAGGTACAAAGTGGAAAAGTCCTGCTCTTCAGCTTTCTGGTAGGTGAAGGTCTCCAGAATCTTCATTTTTTTCTCACCTCTCAACCAGCAGCTCCCAATAAAAGAAAGGTCTTGGTCATAAAATGAGGAGAACCTATGAACTGCCCATCATTAGGGGTGCTTTTTCAACAATCAACAGATTGATAGCCACACGGTGGCATACAGAATGAATTATTTGTCCTTAAGGAGAGTCGGTTACCAGCTAGGCAAGACAGTAAAATTTAGTGTAGAAGAAAACAACATTCACCATTTGGAGTAATTCCAACTCAGTATACAATTAACCATCCGAGCACTTTTGAACATCTTCACAGATTGTCAACTCTCATTTCTGAGCATTCATTACATCAAAGGATTATATACTACTGTAGGGTGTGTCAAAACTTGAATAATAAACAAAAGGCTGTTTAGGTAACATATATCAATCATGGTGTTAGGCATTCTCACTAGTATTTTATTTATGGTATTTTATTTCCTCTCACCAAAAAAAAAAAAAAAAGCTCTATGTTTGTTTTCAATAAATAAGAACACATACTCAGAAATATATGGCTAACAAATAGCAAATTGGTATTCAAATTCAGGTTTTCTTATCCTAAACTTAGTGCTTCTTCTACTAGAAGGCAATTTCAACTTAAATGAATATGCTGTCTGGTTTAAGAATCAGACTTGTGCATAGAGTATAATGTCAGGTGAAATAAGATATTTAATAAGAAAAGCATGAACAAAATCAGTATATCAGCACTTATTAACTACATTTAATAACTACTCATTAACTAATATTCAAGTTCCAGATCTATATTAAATACGTACAAACTGGAGGGGAAAAAATCAAGGATTCTTTGAATACGTCTTCAATCTCTGGGTTAAGCAACTAAATCTTCTACTTTAAGGGACTTTAGGAGTTAGGATAGGTTATTCTAAAATCAATGTTTAATGCTTTGTGATTTTTAAGTCGTTGAAAATTCTCACTGGCATCGATAAATATTATTCATTAGGATACCCATGTGTGCTGCTGCTAAGTGGTTTAAGTTGTATCCTTCTCTTTGTGACCCTATGGACTGTGCCTGCCAGGCTCTTTTGTCCATGGGATTCTCCAAGCAAGAATACTGGAGTTGGTTGCCATACCCTCCTCCCGGGGGTTTTCCAGACCCAGAGATCGAAACCGCATCTCTTAATATCACCTATATTGGCAGGCGGGTACTTTACCACTAGCACCATCTGGGAAGCCCAATATAATACTCATATATTTACATAACAAATCACACTTGTTTGACTAAAGACTGTTTTCTAAAATACCCTGGGCTTTCCCGCTTGCTTCTCCCTTGGTGGCTCAGATGGTAAATGCAGGAGACCAGGGTTCAATCCCTGGGAAGATCCCCTAGAGTAGGAAATAGCAAACTACTCCAGTATTCTTGCCTGGAAAATTCCATGAACAGAGGAGCCTGCTGGGCTACAGTCCATGGGGTCACAGAGTCTGACGCAACTGAGCAACTAACACACAGGACCATGGGCATCTTTTAACAGGTACTACAAAGCAATCACTTAGTTTATGTGATACTGTTTTCTCTATACAATCTGCATAAAATTAGTTCCACATGGTGTTATTACACAATGCATGAACCCAGAACTTTCATAATTCTGCAGTTGTACATCTTTGGTTCCAGAAGCTTGCATGGATCAAAGGTATCACGCAGTCCATAGCTGATTTTTAATCTTAGCACAATATCCCAGCTGGTGATGTTCAGTTTTTGTGTATTGCAGGTAATTTGTTACTAAAGCAGCTAGCTACTTAAGTTTTTAGTTTCCTTAAAAAGAAGAGAGAGAACATATTCATGCCTTAGAGATCTCATATGCTTTCAACAGAAAATCAAGGGGCCGGTCAACCAGCAAACATACTTCCCCTCATCATAGGCATTTCTATCAAAGAGTCTCCTTCATGTAAACTTTGTCACATAAAGTCACAGCAAAGAAAAATAAGGTGAAATTGCTTCATGTTAGAACAAGTGAGCAGGGCTGTATGTTTATATCAGCACTCAAGAGGCTGTGACACAAACTTCTAAATAAGGATGAAGAAGGAGGACCCTGAAATGAAACAAGTGGTTGGAAATCTGACCCCATCTCTTCTGGTAACCGTTCATTTGCAAATGGGTATGGTTTTATAAATTCAAGCTCCTCTTTCTCCTTTCCGTTGACGATTATAAATTAGAGGGAGGTGGGAGGGGGGATCGGGATGGGGAATACATGTAAATCCATGGCTGATTCATGTCAATGTATGACAAAAACCACTACAATATTGTAAAATAATTAGCTTCCAACTAATAAATGGAAAAAAAATCCTGTGATCAACCACGATGGACATGAATATTAAAAAAAGAAAGTATATAAATAAATAAATAAATAATAAATTCAAGCTCCTTTTTCTCCTTTCTGTTGATGATTATAAAGTCAAGCTCCTTTTTCTCCTTCCTGTTGATGACCTGGGTTAAGGACGTTTCAGTTCCTATCCTTCACATCACACAGCTGTGTTTTCAATAAAGGATGAAGTGGACTCAGGGTTCAAAAGGTGGGAGCTCATTGTTGTTGCAATGCTATGAACCAAGAGTTGGCAAATCACAGCGACCTGCTGCTATAATCTATGAATGCCTTTTACCTTTTTAAATGGATGAGAAGGAAATCAAAAGGACAATCCTATCTGGTGACCCATGAAAACTTTATGATAATCACATGTCATTGTCCATAAATCAGATTTATTAGAAGACAGTCAGGCTGACTGAGGCCCATTTATGGCTGCTCTTTACTACAACAGCTGAACTAAGTCACTGTAACACCAACCATATGGCTTGTAAAACTGAGAAGAGTCACACCCTGTGTACTGGTCCCTGCCATAAAAGTTGAATTGAAAAAGGGAGTCGACATTCACGATCCTTAACCTGGACTTTTCTCAAGTAGCCTGAGGATGGGAAGTGAGAGCGTGGAGGGTTATTAACTCCTGTCTTCCTCCCACAATGGCCCCTTTTGCATTTGTAATGGTATAAAGCATGAAAATATCTTCCCTCATAGCTCAGTTGGTAAAGAATCTGCCTGCAAGGCAGGAGACCCGGGTTCGATTCCTGGGTTGGGAAGATCCCTTAGAGAAAGAAATGGCAACCCACTCCAAATTCTTGACTGGAGAATCCCACCAACAGAGGAGCCTGACAGACTAGAGTCCATGCGGTCACAGGAGTCGGACATGACTTAGCGACTAAACCACCAAAGCATGAAAAGACTTTAAACATTATGCTACACAAACATACACATTTATCCAAGTTAGTTCTCTTCTCATCAGCCCCACTGAATCGGCCTCAAATTGAGCAGGGATCACAAAAGAACCTGAAAACCAGTGATGCCATTACTGCAGCATTTCCTTCAGAGTTCAGGGCTCAGACTTCATTACCTCAGGTGGTCTGAGTGCATGTGACTGATGTAAATTAGGTCCGCTCGGCACAGCCTCTCCAGCCAATCAGATGGAGGCTCATGTAGTAACCACCATCCTCGGGCAAAAGCAGGACCCGTTAACCAAGGGTCAAACACCATCCTCTTGTCCCCCAGCTTGAGGTCCATGCAGGCATGAGTAAGGTATGTTATCTGTCAGAAGACAGTGAGAATCAGATTATTGAGTCATCACCCGTCAGCAACAATGAACTGGGCTGGTTAGCGGACAAGTCACGTTGGAGAACTTTGCTCCTGAGCATGTTCAGTGAGGTGGAGACCTTTATGTAGAAAACAACTCCCGGCACACATCACTGCTTTGTTAGGAAAGAAAGGCTCATGGTGGATTTCAGGTGTCAAACCAATTGATTCATCCAATTCTACTCTATCTAAATTAGCTCCTAAATGCTTATTTATAGTCTGCACTGCAGAGTATCTTTTGCCATCAGTCCTTCAAAGCACGATTTACAAGGAAAGGCAGTTAAAGATGTGATGGCAGATACTTGGGGATTTAATTGCCAGACTGGCTGGAAATAGCCACTGAATGAATGATGAATGATTCCTGGTGGGTTTGAGGCAGGAGACAGGTGGGCCCTGGCTGGGCAGCTGGAGTCTGTCCCCTGTGGACACATAGTCCAAGACAAAGATAATAGCAGGAAGGAGGAGAAACTGAGCCCTGTCCAGATAAGAGATAAAAAGACCACACGTTCTTCATTCTTAAGGTCAAGGAGACCTTCCAACTGCACATGCACAGTGAGGCTACTCAGAGGTCAAATAGGGAGGGGACACCACCACGTAGTAAGTGATGTGGACCTTCCCATAGGCCTCCTCACTAGAATCCACCTTGGCTAAGAGATGCAGGTGCACATATGGGAGGACCCTGAGATGAGACAAACACGGCTCAGAACTAGGCCAAGCAAGACGACTGGCCGAAGGAAACCCCAAAGAAATGCCCCATGTAAGTGATTTAAACTACCACGATGGCGTGACTCTTTCTCTCTGAGCCCTCTATCTATTCACATGTACATCTCTCCTCCTAATAAATACTTTATCTGGTTCACTACTTCCCACCTCTTTGTTGACATTTATTTCTACAAAGCAGACAAACCATGGCCCCTGACCCTCGCGGTCCAGGGGCTAGGATTCGGCATTCTCGCCGCCGCAGCCTGACTTCGATCTCTGGTCGGGGAACTGAGATCCTGCTTTGAGTTGCTGCAGGCAGAGGCCACCTGAGATCGGGCTGGCATAGCCACGCAGCCTGGAGAAACAGAACTTGTGAGACTTTCTCTTCTAACTTACCTGCTGACTCGCTCAGGGTCCTCTGAGGATGGCTATCAACAATGACTAAGAAACTGGCACAGACTCCAGGATTCTAAATTAGGGCTTCACTCCTTTCCTCTGGTCTGGCACACCCGGAGGACAAAGGAAAATGCCCAGAGCAGAGATAAGGTGGTAGAAACTCCAGGGTGAGAAGCCAAAGCAGAAGGTACAGAGAGGTCAGCAAACCAAATTCAGGTGATTATGCCTGTTCTGGATAGGGTCCCATTTGCTTCCTCAGAAAAGTTAACAACCCATTTCCACAAGCTTCCCAGATACATCGGAAAAATTCATTTTGGATTGTTTAATTCTCCCATACTACCAAAGCTTTTTCTCTGGAGGAAACTCTTTTAAAGGTAGGAAGTACACAAGGTTTGTGAAGATCTCAGGGCAACATGCAGAGATAGACAACTGGTCGTTTCATCTAATAGTGATTTGGAATCAAGGGAAATTTCTGAATTCCTTCCATATTTTTGCATGACTCTCCTTTGCAACCTCTGCTAAAAGGTTTTCTGCTTTGTTGTTGTTGTTGTTGTTGTTGTTGTTTTTCTGGATATATTACCTTATAATCCCTGCCAAGTTCTGGGTGTTTCTAAAAAATTTGCTCAAGAGTTCAGGATAACTATACTGTAAGTCCTAAGTAGCCACATCCAAGAATATTCTAGGTAATATAAAATATACATATATGTGTGTGTGTATCTTAGTTTTATTTTTGTTTTTAAGATAATTATAATTTAATGTTTCCTTACCTGCACTTCCCCAAAAGCCAAATCTTCAGGAGGTCTGGGCTCTGAATCCCAGGGGTTAGGAGGATTCAGTTCTAGAAGCAAAAGTTCATTTTCTTCACTCTTTTCCACAACTAGAACCAAAGGGGTATGAATCTGAATTAATAACAACAACAAAATGATGTTTAAAAAGCATCACTGAAATAGAAATGTATGGCTCAGGTACTCAGAGTTCAAAAATCAAAGGGAATCAGAAACAAAAAGCAATGCTAATTTAGGTCAAGCAATATCTACTGAGATGAGGGCTGAAGACTGACACCCATTCATTTCTTTTATTCATACTACACTTAAGGAGCTCATGGAATCTCAGGTATGTCAGGGATATTTTATGTCTTAAGTTGAGTGCTGGGCACATGGTGGTTTATTATTTTTATATCTTTTAAATACTGTTTAAGAATTTAGTAGAAGCATATTAATTAACATTTTCCTAATAAGAGTTATCAACTTATTTAATAACAAAACAACTGGCTTTCTTAATAAAATCAGAAATACACAATGGACATTTAATATCACCACTGTTATTAAACTGTGTCCTTGAAAATGCAAACAATACAATAAAGATACATTTTATTATTATTTTCAGGCTATATTGTTGCTGGAAAATCATGAAATAGAAAGAGTGCTGGATTTGGAAACATCAGGGTGGGGATTGTGACTGGGCTGCTTATTATCAACATCCTGGGCTGCAGTTGCCTGATCATAAAATAGAGTTATGACACATACTTCATAGAGTTGTTGTAGGCAGTAAACAATATAAGAGATCCAACAGTGTCCAGCACTATGCCTGGCACAAAGAAAGCATTTAATCAATAATAATATTATTATAGCAATTATTTTATCTTCGAAGAATGAAGAGTTAAAGAGAAAGCTCAGTATTGACAAGACTATATACTATTAATAACAAATATCAATTCAAAAGTACAAAGTATTATGGGAGGTTCTCAGAAAACTGCATTGATATCCACTTGTAAGGATTTTCCTTCTTTAGAATTGTTCTCTCTTAAGAAAAGCAGGAAAAGAAATGTGTGTGCTCAGCTGCTCAGTCGTGTCTAACTCTTTGTGACCCTATGCCAGGCTCCTCTGTCCATGGGATTTCCCAGGCAAGAATACTGGAGTGGATTGCTATTTCCTACAACAGGGGATCTTCCCAGCCCAGGGATTGAACCCATGTTTCCTACATCTCCTGCATTGGGAGGTGGATTCTTTACCACTATTGCAACCTGGGAAGCCCCAGTTATTAAGTAACAGTTATTAAACAGCTTTAATATTCTAAGAGAGGGTGAAAAAGGAAGGGCTTTCTAACAACGGTGCTGTACAACTGATTATTTAAGTATTCTAGTTTATTATCTAGTTTATTAAAGACACAATGAGACATTTCCAATTGCCTAAAAATAGAATACAAAGGGAGGACTTCTAAATTTAATAGCGATGGAAACAATTCCAGTGGAAAATCTGAATATATACAAATGTAAGATGAAAAAGTTCTACCACCAACAAAAACTGGCAAACACGTTTGGAAAATATATTAGCATCATACATGAGGAACAAGTTTAATTTAAAACAACAGTGATGCTATTTTTTTATTCAAAGGAGAAAAGTCTGAAAAACTAAGAATGCCTCAAGCTGGTAAAGTATGAGGAGAAAGGAGAGCTTATTAACTAGTTAGAGGGAACAAAAATTGGGTCATTCTAAAAAATGGACTGTAATGCAATACATATTAAAGAATGGATGAATGAATAATGGCCTCATTCATTCATTTAGGACCTCAAGTAAAGAGGACGAGGTTAACCGTATTTTTTAGTTCATGACACATTATATTCAGTCCAAGCAAAGCTACTTACTTACTTATTTATTTACTATTCCCTTTATCTGTTTCCCATTGTTATTTCTCTCTCCTTTCCTACAGGATTATCATTTGAATGCTCGTGCAAAGTATGCATTATATTTTATGTGTACATTTTACTTCATATAAATGGTACTGGGTCTCCAGTCTGTTTCTTACTCTTTTTCACTCAATACTCTGTTTTTAAGATTCTTTCATGTTGCCACGTGTACATCTAGTCCACTTCCTCTAACTGTAAGTTAGTATTCTGTGGTTTACCACATTTTACTGATTTACCCTCCTTATGGTGGACCCAGACTCCACCACAACAAGATTTCTCTGGTGCATACATAGAAGAGAGACTGATGGATCACAGTGTATGGTCCATAAACCTCCTCTGACTAGTCACAGTTGGATTATTTTCTAGCCTAGCTGCACCAGCCACACCTCCGCCACATGCATGAAGATTTTTATATCTTTGTATCTCTGACAACATTTGGCAGTTCCTTGGTTTATTTTTATCAATAAAAAAAAACCCTACAGTAACATCTCATTGCTTTGGTTAGCAGTTTTCTGATAATTAACGAATTTAAGCATATTTTCATATGCTTATTGACCTTTGGGGAGTCTTCTGTAAAATGCTAGTTGATATCCATTCTTCATTTTTGTATTGAGCTTCCTATTCTTTCTTGTCAATTTGCTTTACTTAAGGGAATAGCAACCCACTCCAGTATTCTTGCCTGGGAAATCCTCTGGACAGAGGAGCCTGGCAGGTTACAGTCCATGGGGTCACAAAGAATCGGACAGGACTGAGTGATTAACCACTTTCTCTTTCTTCTTATATGTTAGATCATATTCCCCTGTTGGTTGTAAATATAGAAAAATAATCACCCAAACTATTATATGTCTTTGTCTGTGTCCTCCATTTAGCAGAAATCTTTAGTACTGATGAATTCATATTTACCAGGGTTTTGTGTGTGTGCGTAGGCACGGAGTTGCCTTTTAAGCTGTACTTTTGAAATGTTTGTCAGGAAGTCACCAATCTCTAGGTCACAAAGATATTCTACACTTCTGTTACTTTTACAGTCTTACCTTTCTCATTTAGGTTATTAGTCCCTGTGGAGCCCATCTTTATGTTAAGGTGTACAAAATGTTAAATATGGATAAATACATTAATTGGGTGTATGTGTGAAAGTCGCTCAGTCATGTCCGACTCTTTGCAACCCCATGGACTGTAGCCCATTAGGCTCCTCTGTCCATGGAATTCTCCAGGCAATATGCTAGAATGGGTTGCCATTTCCTTCTCCAGGGGATCTTCCTGACCCAGGGATCAAACCCAGGTCTCCCACATTGCAGGCGGATTCTTTACCATCTGAGCCACCAGGGAAGCTCCCCCCAAAATACATTGATTAGTCAAACCCTTTTGCCAGTAATGCAACTATCTTACAAAAACAATTCCAAAAACAGAGAAGTTCTTAAGCATAAAGATCACAGTTTAGGTTTTGAAGGTAAAAAAAAAAAAAAAATTTGTGAACAGCATAAATGTCAACAGCAGAGAACTGGCTAAATAAATTAATATTTAATGTAGGCATACTTAAAATTATATATATATATATAATCTGACATATTATGGCTAATGTAATATTAACAAGACAAAAACAGGATACAAAAATAATATATAGCATAATTATAATTAGTTATAAAAGTATGCCTAAAAAGATGACTGAAGATGGGACTAGACTGAAAATCAACAAAGAAACAGAAGATTTGAACAACACTATAAACCAACCAGATCCAAATACAGAATACACATTCTTCTCAGGTACATGTGAAATATCTCCACAAACCAGTACAAACCATATGTTAGACCATAAAACAAATGCCAATAAATTTAAAAGTTTCAAGTCATATAAAGTATGTTCCCTGACCACAGTGAAATGAAATTAGATACCAATAAAAGAAGAAAGTTGGAAAATTCAGAAATATGTAGAAATAAACAATATACTTCTAAATACAAATGGTCTGAAGAAGAAAATCACAAAAGAAGTTAGAAAATACTTTGAGCCAAATAAAAATGAAAATATAACGTGCTGAAACTTATGGAATGCAGCTAAAACAGTGCAGTGCATAGAATGAAATTTACACCAGTACACATCTGTAATTAAAAAGAAGATCTCAAGTAAAAAACCTAACCTTCTGTCTCATGAAATTAGAAAAAGAGGCATAAACTAAACCCCAAACAAACAGGTTGGATGCATGAGACAAGTGCTCAGGGCTGGTGCATCCCAGAGGGATGGGATGGGGAGGGAGGCGGGAGTGGGGATCGGGATGGGGAACACATGTAAATCCATGGCTGATTCATGTCAATGTATGGCAAAAACCACCACAATATTGTAAAGTAATTAGCCTCCAAGTAATAAAAATAAATGAAACACACACACACACACACACACAAACAAAACAAACGAAAGGAAATATTTAAAAGTTAGAGCTAAAATAAACAGAATTGATACTAGAAAAATAAGAAAAAATGAAAACAGGAATATGTTCTTTGAAAAGATTAACAAAATTTTCAAACCTTCAGCTAGACTAATAAAAGAGAGAAAGGGCTCAAATTACTAAAATCAAGAATGAAAAAGGGGATGTTACTATCAACTTTATGGAATAAAAAAGAATACAAGGAAATATTATGATTATTATACATCAACAAATTGATAACCCAGATGAAATGAGAAATTCCTAGGAAGAATCAAATTAACAAAACTGACAAGAAGAAATAGAATACCTGAGAAGACCCAAAACAAATAACGGATTTAATTAGTAAACAAAAACCTTCACAAACATTAGTCTAAGCCTAGATAGCTTCACTGGTGAATCTGGCCTAATGACTAAAGAAGAACCAACACCAATACTTTCATAAACTCTTCCAATAAATAGAAGAGGAGGGAACACTTCCCAACTTACTTTATGAGGGCAATCTTATTACCCTGATCCCAGGACCAGACAAAGATATCACACAAAAGGAAAACTACAGACCAATATTCCTGACAAATTTTGTTGTTGTTGTTTAGCTGCTCCGTTGTGTCTGGCTCTTTGTGACCCCATGGACTTCAGCCCGCCAGGCTCTTCTTCTTTGCCTAGGAAAGAATACCGGAGCAGGTTGACATTTCCTACTCCAGGGGATCTTCCTGACCCAGGGATCAAACACGTGTCTCCTGCATTGGCAGGCAGATTATTTACCTTTGAGTCATCTGGGTGGGAATCCTTACAAACATAGACATAAAAATCCTTAACCAAATATTAGCAAATACAATTTAGCAATATAAAAAAGAATTGTAGCCATGACCAAGTGGGGTTTATGCCAGCTTGGTTCAATACAGAAAAAGCCACAGAGGCATAAAATAGATTAGTGATTGCCAGGGGCTGAAGGAAGAGGGGAATGGGAGTGACTGCTAATAGTTATAAGGTTTCTTTGGGGGATGGTGAGAATGTTCTGGAATTAGAGAGTGGTGGTAATGGCACAATATATGAAAATATTAAAAACCATTGAGCTGCACACTCTAGAAGGGTGAATTTTATAGTACATGAATTATATCTCAATTAAAAGAAGGAGGAGAAGGCTGGGAGAGAGAGGAAGGGGACCTCGGTGACAACTGGAAGAAAAGATACCTAAACAGAGGTTGTCTTGAGGTGATGGGAGTATAGGTGAGCATCTTCTTCCTTCTACTTTCCTGACTTCTACCTTTTTAATGATGATCATATCCTATGAAAGAGAAGGATGGCTTGGTCTCATGTGAACTGAGATTATTCAATTCTATGATTTATAAATAATAATTTTTTGTGGTAGGGAATCACTACAACATTGGTAGCACTGAACTGAAAAGTGGACTCGGTTAAAATTTTCCACTCTCTCCGCATTTCCTCACTGGGGCAAAAGCTGAAAACTTCAGTTCGTCTTGTTACCACCTGCCCTCCACTGGCCTGCTGTCACCCCTGGCAAGAAACCCTCTACATCAATTTTCACCTTCGATCTATTTTCCATTTGATCAACTTTCTGCTGAGTGGAAAATCCCTTCCTCTTGCTCCAAAGGTCCAAATCACAGGGGAGATGTGTGGATTATTTAAGACATACATTAAAAAAAAAAAGTCTTTTTTTTATTGGAGTATAATTATACTCCAATAAACTTTACAATAAGACTTTCCAATAAGACTTTACAATGTCATTCTAGTTTCTGCTGTACAATGAAATAAATCAGCTATATATATATATATATATATATATATATATATCTGTTGCTATATATATACATCTCCCCTCCCTCCTTCCCACCCCACCTCCAATCCACCCTTCTAGGTCATCACAGAGCACCAAGATGAGCTCCCTGTGCTAAAGAGCAGCTTCCCACTAGCGGTCTATTCCAAAAGACTTCGAAGTTTTGTAAAAGCCCTTAAGCAGCTATAAATTTATGGGTTACATACTCATTAAGCTGATAGTCTATTGTCCTCTAACTTACACAATTTAATAATTTCAAACCTTTGCTTCTTACCTGTTTTCTGCCAAATAAATTTAACAGTATTTGTATAGTGCATGTTACTAGCTCTTGTTAACAAGCAGTCTGCAGGTTTCCTAAGCTAGCTCAACAGACATGGAGTAGGGCTTACTGGCAAAAGAAGCTAGTGGTTCCAGCTCTCCTTTTGAGGGACGGGGGAGGATGTACTTGCCGTCAAAGGAATTAGCAACTTTCCCCAGAATAACTTGCTGTCACATCTCTTTGGGGGTGAACAGGAAAGGACATGCACCTCAGTGACAACTCTGCTCTGGGAACTGGGAGAATGCCTTGGCAGGCCACACCCTTCTTTAAAAAATGATTAGGAGTTGGTCTCACTGAGACATCTGGACAACAGTGGCCCTAGTATCCTATCCCATGTACAATAATTCGAGTCTGAAAAAGATGTAGAGCTCGTCTAAACACAGTTTCCAGTCTGGAGGTCCAGGCAGGAAGCCCTCCATTTAGCTCCCTTACAGATAACCAGTGTTAAGACTGCCCTCATCCACACTGCTTATGCATATACATTTCTCATAATTGTGTCATACTATATGTAACATTTATAATCTGCCTTTTTGCTTTATCTATCAAAAATCTCTAATTATTTTAATTCCTTCAATAGTATCACTTTTAAGACACAGTGGAATTATTTTTAAAGTTTCCACTGTTTTCAATTTTTCTCTTTAGATAGTATTGCTATGAATGAACATTCTCATACCTATATCTTTTGACATTTCAAGGATTATGAAGATCTTAGGACATAGCCTTGGATGTGGAATTGCCGGGTCAAAGGGATGCATATTTTTCAGTGTGTTAGGAAACTCACTGGAGAGTTTTAAGCAGGAGAATGACATGAATTAATTTTGATTTTTAAAATATCAGCCTTGTATACCTGAAGGGTTCCCTGGTGGCTCAGACAGTGAAGAATCCACCTGCGATGCAGAAGACCTGGGTTCGATCTCTGAGCTGGGAGGATCCCCTGGAGGAGGGCATGGCAACCCACTCCAGGATTCTTGTATGGAGAACTCCATGGACAGAGGAGCCTGGCAGGCTAAAGTCCACGGGGTCACAAAGAGTCAGACACGTTTGAGCAACTTGAAACTAACACAACATTGTAAATCAACTATACTCCAATACAAAATAAATACTAAATTAAATATATATATCAATCTGGGTGTTATAAGCAGAATGAACTGCAGGAAGCAAGCACAGAAGCAGGGAGTCCAGTCATGCAGACAAAGGATGACTTTTTCTTAATCCATCTTTGTTTCTGTTAATACCCAGGACAATGGTTTACACCTGACATGATCTCATCAAAGACTTACTGAACTAATGAGTGAATGAACCAAGGGACCTTCTGAAGAAATTCTGTTTAGAATTTTCAGTGTTAATTATTTTTAAAAGACTTAATGTCCACAGGCTAAAATCAGAATGTAACCAAAGCTCAAAGTGAAATTGGAAACAAGTTGACAAGAAGGTCCCCAGTAATAGTGACAGCAGAAAACGTTGATCAATATGGAAGGTATTTACCTAGTTCATCTTGACAGAAGCTGCCTGGAGGGTTGATATACTTCATGGTGCTCACATCCAACTTCCAGTTGTGTTTTGTACATCTAACAGACCTGGAAGAAAAATTGTCCTTAGGTTTAGGAAATGGTGTAAATAAAAACTAATCTTATTGGGCTTACATGCATTATAAACAACTAGAGTTGATTGAACACAAAATTCATGAGAGGAAAACTATTCATAATTAAAGCTCAAATATCCAAGGAAATATAGACTAATCATCAGAAGCTAATTGTAAAAGTGAAGATAGGGCTTCCCTGGTGGTTCAGTGGTAAAGAATCCGGGTGCCAATGCAGGAGACGCAGGTTGGATCTCTGAGCTGGGAAGATCCCACATGCTGAGGAGCAGCAAGCCTGTGTGCCACACTATTGAACCTGAGGTCCAGAGCCCGGGAGTTGCAGCCACTGAGCCCATGTGCAGTCCACGCGCTCTAGAGTCCGTGTTCCACAACAAGAGAAGCCCCCACAGTGAGAAGCCTGCACGATGAGAGAGCAGCCCCCACCCCCTGCAACTAGAGAATGCCTGCTCAGCAACCAAGGCCCAGCATCAAAAAAAATGATAACAAATAAATTATTAAAAATTGTTTAAAAAAACAGTGAAGATAAATGGCACATCACGAAATAATACATGTTAGAGATCAACAGAGCCATCAGAATAAAGTCACCTTTAGGGATAGCTCTCATAAAAAAGCTAAGCTGGTTAAGATCCAACCGAGGCCAATATGAGGAAAGAATGTAGTGATAAAGACAAATCTATGATTTACGATCACTCGACAAACCTTGGTCCCTATTATAGTGTACTGAATCTAAGTTCAACTTGAGTTTGTATTTTTTGAGAAGAAAAGACTTCCTTATGGTTTAAGATTTCAGAGCATGGTTGCCAAAATACAGGATGCCCAGTTAAATATGAATTTCAGATAAATAACAATTTTAGAATATGTCTCACACAATATTTGACATACACTGGAAATTCATCATTTATCTGCAATGTAATTGAGTGTTCTGCATTTTTATTTGCTAATTCTGGTGGCCCTGTTTCAGAATGACAACTAGATTGTAGCAAAGTTGGAGGCTTACTGATTTCTTTTCCATTTCTTATCAAACCGTGAAGGGCGTTATGGTGGTAGAAAATGAGGTTTAAACGTTCCATTTCCTCTCCACCTTGGTGGTGTTTCTAGTGAAGTTTTTGTAGCAGTTAAAGATTAAAAAAAACAAAAAAACCACAAATGTCTCAAACCAGAAACATCAGATTTCTTAAACAATGTCTTTTTTTAACTTCTATAGCAGCAAATGACATGACTTTTCCCAAGCTTCATTATATTAAGAATTTTTCATGCCCTTTTCTAGTAACGAGGCAAAAAAAATGTACTCCACACTTCAACTTAAAGAAGATTATTCTTAACGTCTACTCTCTCATCAATGAGTAGCCAACAACCTTTCAAAATTTGAGGACATTCCAAATGCAGCTATTCGGCATGCAGGTCAATAAATGGGAAGCATGGCAGGGTCTTAACTGTTCATGGGCAGCAGGCAGACAGGAGGAAAGTGACAGCTTCATGCACCAAGACGTTGTGAAAAGCTGTTAAATTTGCAAAATGACAATCACAGCTTATGGGAGTTGCTGATCTTGGTTATGTGTGAAGAAGAAAAATGGCTAAGGTAGGGAGGGTAAAGAGGTAGCTCATTACTCTCAAGTGTCTCCTTGTAGAGAGATTCCTCAGGCGGATTGAGAGCACCTGAAGAGAAGCAATCAAATTTGGAGCAATGGATGCGGGAGTACAGGGTGAGTTACTGTGAGGATGGAGTTGCCAGTGCCAGCTCCAGGTTAGCCTGACAACAGAATAGGGTGAAACTAGGATCAATCACTCCAAAGGCTTTGCATGAAGGAGAGAAAGGCCAGTCTGGGGCAAAGTAATCACTCTGTTAGGATAATCAAGCCAGATTCAAGAACAAGCTGAATTCCTAAAAATAATCTCATTCCCAAGCTATACCAGAAGCTCATGACAGAGTAATAATCGTAAAAGTAACTGATGTTTATTGAGTGCCTATCATATGACAGATACTGTTTTTAAGTGTTTTATGTATTTGAAATCACTTTATCCTCTGAGCAGCCAGAGAGAATAGGTACTCTCATTTTCAGTTTACAGAGGAGAGGACTGAGGTCCGGAAAGTCTAAGAAACTTGTCCATGTTCATGGGGCTATTAAGTCGTGGGGCCAGGCTTCTGACCAGGACAGATTGCGAGGAAAGCTCAGGCTGCTAATCACAAAGCTACACTTCCTCCAATGGCTGGCTATGTGAGCTCCATGGTGAGAGCCCATTGAAGAGAGAGGAAAAGCCGAGTCCCCAAACTGCAACAGTCAGAAGACCTCAAGGTCCCAGAGTGCCCGTAGAAACTCACTAGTGACAGAACGAGCCATGGCTGAGGTTTCCTGGATTAAATTCACTGAGAAGATGGAAGGGACTCGAAGCAGGGCTGTCAGCAAACAACCATGAGGGTCTCCGAGAGTAGAGTTGCTGCTCAAAGTGTATCCCATACAATACTTGGAACCTATCTATGCTAAAAATATATTCATTGTTTACCTGAAATGTAGATGTAACTGGATGCCTTCTGTTTGCCTAATCTAGCAATCCCATCAGAGCAGCCAAGCGGGAGACAGGTGTCAACACTGTTTCGGTCCTGAAACTAAGAATGTAGTGAAGCAAATCTGTATGCATGTGTAAGAATATTCTAGACTTGGGTAACGGTCATCTATACAATTCTAGCAGGGAGTTCTTAGACACTTACCCAGCTCCACTGAATCCACCTGCACTAAATTGCCCACAGATGACCTGAGAAATCAAATCGATAACAGTAGAAGACAAGTCTGGTGTGGGAGTGGCTAAAAAGCACCCAGGTCAAGTTAGGCTGAAAAGAAGCTTGGAAAAGTGGGGTCAGCCACTCATTCATCGCCAGTGCTGAGCATCAGGCTGACAGAGCATCCCCTCTCCCCTACCTTCCCTGTCTCTGCCAGAGTGTGCTGCTATATCTTTGGCTCTCACTGAAAACAAAACGAAACAAAAAAATCCACAGCAATCCTGCCCTGGTATTGTCCCTGAACTGGGGAGGGAGGTCATCTATATGTAGTCTTAATCAAGGGATGGGGGAAGAGGGTACCGGCACCAGTTTTCCAAGAAATGATCAGAAGCACCTCTGTTCAGAGCAGGTACAGTTGGGGCTCTACCATGTGGGGTTTTTAATCACTGCAAGGTGGTAAGGGAAATTCTATCTGCTCCCCAGCAGAGTTTGGACAAGAGCCTACCCGACTCATACTTCTGGGGGAGCAGGAAAGGAAACCCCAAAGAGGCTTGAGTCTTGGAAAATAAAAGCTATCACGCACACCCAACCTCTCACTCACATACACAGACCCACGTACCTTAGAAATGTCACTGTTTATCAAGCTAGGAATCCATTTTCAATTAGAGTTCTTGAGAGAGAACGGGAAATTAAATAAAGGTCAGAATGTTTTGAGATCAGAGAGATACCCTAAATGTGCACAAGTAAGTTAAAATTTGCTAGGAGAAATAATTTGTCAGTTGTTTCATTTGATTTCCCAATAAGCACACTTCTGGCCAAATCTAACTTTAAGGGTCACCAGAGAAATGGAGACAGAAATGGCAACCCACTCCAGTACTCTTGCCTGGAGAATCCCAGGGACAGAGGAGCCTGGTGGGCTGCTGTCTATGGGGTCGCACAGAGTCGGACATGACTGAGGCGACTTAGCAGCAGCAGCAGCACCAGAGAAAAAGCAAAATGACTCATGGTACCTTCCATCTAAATCCTCGATATCTTTTATGAACAGGCCTCCTTGGTGCTTGCACATATTCTTGCACGCTCGCAGGTGGCTCTTACTCTTATACAAGATGTAATCTTTGCCAGTGCTCTTATTTCGAACAAAATTGATTCCTTCCTTGAGACTGGCAACTTCAGTGGGGGAGAGACACAAGAGGAGCTCAGCTGTTTGTTCGATGCTGTGAAAAGGCAAACGTTTTGAGAGGAAACAGAGATATTGTTAGGTTTTAAGAGAGAACCATTTGGCAATGGCGGTCAAAACCTCTTTTTTTTTTATTAAGATATTATTTAAAGGCCATCCTTCCAAGTACCCGGGCTGAGGGGCACCTGACGGTGAACTTTCTCCCCTCCTTTAAATGCCCATCCTACTTGTCGAGGGTTTATCCCCGCCTTCCCAGGAAAGTAATGCTTCCCTCACTTGCCTGCCCATAGTCTGTCGTTGCCTCTCCCTGGGTATTTCAGAAGAATGGCAGTCCCTTCAGAGTCTGTGGCTCATTCACTCCCCCAAGGCAGAAGTCTGTGTGGAGAAAGAGGATGTACACTCAGCTCAGTATTTCCGTTGGTGATGTCTCCTCGTTAAACATGTTTGTTTCAGAAGCCGAATTCTATATTTAGCGTCAATAACTGCTCCTCACCTTCAAACGTTCACATCAGGACCTCCTCTCTTTTCCTACTGAGAGTCACTCTACAGATTCAAAAGTAACTCAATCACTGCTCCTTGGTTAACCTTTCCAAGCCCTCCCACCCCCCCACTCACTCCCAGGTCAAATCTAACATTTCTTTCTTTTTTACTTTCCAGAAAACATTGAAATTTATTCTCTTTCTTTTACAGCATATCCATCATCTCATATAGATACAAAATTAAAGATGTGATGAGAACTCTTAGGACTTACTCAACAACTTTCATATATAATATACAGTAGTGTTAGTTATGGGGCTTCCCAGGTGGCGCTAGTGGTAAAGAACCCCACTGCCAATGCAGGAGACATAAGAGACACAGGTTCGATCCCTGGGTCGGGAAGATCCCCTGGAGGAGGACATGGCAACCCACCCCAGTATTCTTGCCTGGAGAATCCCCATGGATGGAAGAGCCTGATGGGCTATAGTCCATAGGGCCACAAAGAGTCAGACATGACTGAAGTGACTTAGCACGCACGCACGCAGTGTTAGTTATGTTTATCCAATTGTACATTACATTCCCAGAACTTACTTATCTTACAGTTGGAAGTTTGTACCTTTTGCTAACTTTCATGCAGTTCCCCTTCCCTCCACACCCTGCGTCTGATAACCAAAAATCTGATCTCTTTTTCTATGAGTTTGTTTTTAAAGTATAATTGACCTCCAACAATTATGTTAGTTTCTGGTACACAATATACGGATTGATGTTTCCATACATTTTAAATGATCACTATGATAAGCCCAGCACTGTAAGTCTAGCATTTCTTAACGTGTTATTTACTACTCTGTAGAACCTTATATCCTAGTACCTGTGTATCAACCTACTTACTTGTACATAGATGCTTTTAAAAACACTCTGTACTTTTCTCTCCCCACCACTTAGCAGACTGCCTATCTTTAAGAGCTAGCTAAAGATTGAACCACCTGCACCCAATCTGAGTCATTTATAAAAAGCTTCAGCAGAAAATGAAGCATTTGATCTTTCATATTTTTTCAGGGAAACTACAAGTGTTACATTTCTCAAACTCCAGTCTTTAAACAAACTCTCTTTATGATGCAACTCCGAATCATAGTGGAATATAATTTTTGTGAAGAGGGACTTCAAAATAACTTTTAGCATATCCATGGTATGAAATCTGGATGCATGTTTAATTCTATATTCCACTCCAAACCCAAAGTGGTCAAAATTCTTCTCATATATTAAATTAAAATTGATTTGATTTTCATGTACATTTTTGGCGCTTTCATTTCTGGAAGCAAAATCTGCAGATTTCTTAAAGAGGAAATTAAATAATATTATAAAAATATCATAACAGGAAATAAGAGAGAAGTTGCTTCTAATTTTCAGCTAATAAGGCAGAATTCTAACTGAGAATGATCCATTTCTTCAAAACTGATTCTCTTTGTCACTTTTGTCCCAAATTCCTTGTAATTCTGTTCATAGTAGACTTGAAATGTTTCCAAATATATGTTTTAAATGTATTTGATAGAAAGGAATCCATGATAAGCCTCATGAAGTTCTTTTATCTTTATTCTTATGAGTACAAATATCCGACACAAGTCAAAGCAAGTCCTGAGGCAATTTCTGTAATAATCAACCCAAACATGTAAAAAGAAAATCTTTCTAAATATTTTGTTTTACTTGATTGAATGAACAAATCAGGGTCTCTGATAGATTCTAAGGCTTTCATCAACTGTGTAAGACAAGTTGAACTAACTACATCTTTATTAATTCCTTGAGAATATCAACCGGAATCTAAAGCAAAATTTTAACATGTGCACTCCTATATATAGGGTTTTGTATTTCTTCTTCTTTTTTTTTAAAGAATCTACATTCCTTTGGTTCATTTTTTAAAAATATTTATTTATTTTTTATTTGGCTGCATCTGGTCTAAGTTGCCTGGAGAATCCCATGGACGGAGGAGCCTGGTAGGCTACAGTCCTGGTCTAAGTTGCAGCAGGCAGGCTGCAGGACCTTCATCGCATCATGCAGGACCATTTGCTGTGGTGCACTGACACTCTAGTTGCAGCGAGCGGGCTCAGTAGTTGTGGCACTCAGGCTTAGTTGCTCTGCAGCTTGGGGGACCTTAGTTCCCTGAGCAGGCATCGAACCTGTGCTCCCTGCATTGCAAAGCAGATTCTTAACCACTGGACCACCAGAAAAGTTCCCCCTTATGTATTTTTTCTAATGGTTAGTTTTCCCCAAAAGTTGATTTTTAAACTTTTTTTTTTTTTAATGAGTTGGATTCCATTAAAGTCAGGAAAGTAAATTATAGTAAATTCTGCTTTGGGTATAAATAAAATATTTAAACTAAGATGATGGGCATGGTAGCACACCTACTTTCCAACCTTCCAACATTTTTTCAAACACTTCAACGTGTGTGAAAAATAATCACTAAACACACATAAAAACATTTATATAGGGACACACATTTTTTTCCTTTTGCCTCAAACTTGGTGGCATGGCATCCTGCTTTTAAAATTTTAATATTTTCTTTCTCATGAAATTTTAGCTTTGGTGTTGACTTCTTAAATATTATTTTAATGATATTCATATTGATTATATTCATCTATAAAGCCAAGAATCTTCCAGAAGGTTAAGTTCTGAGAAAAAGAGCTAGAGGAAGAAAAGGCAACTCATTCACAACTGTCAATCTAGAAATGATTTTGTTACCATAATTTCTAAATTAGATTCGTATTTTTTTATAATTTTATTTATTTCTTTATTTTTGGCTGTGCTGAGTTTTCACTGCTGCGTGGGGTTCTTCTGTAGTTGTGGCAAGCACAGGCTGCTCTCTCGTAGTATGAGGGCTTCTCATTGCGAGGGCTTCTCTTTTTGTGGACCACGGACTCTAGAGAGAGAGAGCTTCAGTAGCTATAGTATGTGGGCGCAGTAGTTGCAGCTCCTAGGCTCCAGAGAACAGGCTCAATAGTTGAGGAACACAGGCTTTGTTGCTCCACGGCATGTGGAATCTTCCTGGATGGGGGATCAAACCCCCATCAAACCCCATGTCTCCTGTACTGACAGCAGGCTCTCCACTGCTGAGCCACCAGGAAAGCCCCAAGCTTTGTTTTCAGTGGGAAGGTGTTCAATATTCCGTTCACAGGGATGTAAACTGCGTGAATGTTGAGCTATAAAATGTCTGTCACATGGTGGTAAATATCTGGTGAATGAAGGAATACACTCCCAAGAAGGCAATATGTCCTCCATTTGGACAAAGAGTGTGAAAATGCTTCCAAAGGTCACAGATTAAAGAAAAGATCAAATTACTGGATCACATAAGTTTTAAAAAGTAACTTGGAGTAATTCCCTGGTGCTCCAGTGGTTAGGACTCAGCATTCTCACTGCCAGGGTCCCAAGTTTGATCCCTAGTCAGGGAACTAAGATCCGACACGCTGCATGGCATGATCTAAAAAAAAAGGAGGTCTCAAAAAAAAATAAAGAAAGAAAAATTTTTAAAAAAGGAAGTCTCATACTCAAAATGCTTTGGGAACCAAGGACCTAGCAGAAGAATGTCAGGCTGCAAGCTTTATATAGAAATCTTTTATAATTGCATTTGCTGTTAGGTACTTCATAAACATTTGTTGAACCAATAATATGAAATAGTCAAGATTGCTAAAGGCCTTCAAGTTGTTCCAGAAATCAAAATGAGAAACTGAGAGACAGCAAATTCTCATGAGGTTGTATGAATAGACAAAATCAGGCCAAATATAAGGAAATATTAGAGAAAATTTATTCCAATTATTTTAGAATAATGGGTTCTAATCTAAACTGTTCAATAAAAAGTCATCAGCTTACACTGTTCCCTTAAGACCCCACATTGCATGTTTCATTACAAAAGGCCATAAAAACAGTGGGTGTTAACCAGAAAGCACACTTAAAACAAGATAAAATTTATGCCCTTGCCTTTATTCAAAACCACTAAGGGTCCACAACTAGATATGCTGTGCAGTTTGGGTCCCCCACTCCATAAGGAAGACAGGTCAGGGTCGGGAGAGGTCCTGAAAAATGAGATCAAAGTTATGAACTAGATGGAAGGGAATCAGAAATTCTGATACTTCCATACACATATACTAGAATTGCACCATTAAATACATGGATGACAATGGTGAGAGCCAGCTTTCTCATGGTTGGAGTGGGACTTATAGATAAGCAAGGGGAGGAAGCTAGACTAACCCATGTGGTAATGGAATACTTAGAGATAAACATATAGCCTTGGATGTGAACATTAAAAAAGAAAAGCTAAAAAGCATCCATCTCAAGAAGCATTAGAGAACAATAAAAAATGGAAAGAAAGTAAGAGAATTATGAAACAGAAGCTCTACACAGACAGGATCAACAAAGGCAAAAGATAATGGAACCATCAAGAGAGCGAAAGGACAACACACAAACCAGGAGATGTTTGCAAGTTATGTATGTAATAAGGATCAGATATCATGAATTTATTTTTTTTAAACTCTTAAAAGTCAGTAACAAAGGAATTAGGAACGGTAAAGGAGTTCATATACCCAACTGATGCAGAGTTCCAGAGAATAGCAAGGAGAGATAAGAAAGCCTTCTTAAGTGAACAATGCCAAGTAATAGAGGAAAACAACAGAATGGGACAGACAATCCAATTAAAATAAATTAATTCATTTAAAAAGAAGAAGGGACAGACTAGCAATCTCTTCAAGAAAATTGGAGACATCAAGGGAATATTTCATGCAAGGATAGACACAATAAAGGACAGAAATGGTAAGGACTTAACAGAA